TTTAAAAAAGTTAAACACTACTGCGCCTCCAAACAAACAAGTCTATTGATTTAAACACTACTGCGCCTCCAAACAAACAAGTCGATTTACAGTCAACCTATTTATTTATTCATCTATTTATTGCAATAATAATAGAATTATTCTAGAATTCACATTCAAACTGTGTAGGTTACCGAAAGGGTGGGTAGCATGTAAAGTCATCTGACGCATGCCTAGTATTGATAGATGCGACTTACCATCACAGGACATGCCATCGACGTTTAAGACATTGATAATAAGACGTGAAAGAAGTAAATCGGACTCACCATCACATGCCAAGCCGTCAACATTCAAGGCATAGCCGGCGTTACAAGAACATTCAAAATTGCCGACAGTGTTTGTACACGTTTGCGCACATCCGCCATTGCCGGCGTCACATTCGTCGATATCTGGAAATGAACTTATGCTTAGAACTCTTTTATGCTCTATATTATATTTTGTTCAGAAAAGAAACTTTAGTGCTCGCATCCAATAACATTATCAATGGTTGACATCTGAAGACGGCAACTGTGCTTAAAAGTTTGTAATGCCGGGTATTATTTTCATAAATAGAGGAAGACGTTAACATATTTCCTTACTTTATACACTTGAGCACTGTAGAAAAATTAATATTATTAATGCGACTTGACAAACCTTCCATCGAAAAACATATCTGTTCCTTTATCTCCACTATAACTGAAAAGCGAGAACAACTTCAATTTATGTAATGATAGCTAGTTTTATTTTGTATATATCTTTTCATCATGTCTTGTTTTGATCTGTACTTAGCCCAGAGTGGCAAAAATGCGCAATAAAGGTCGTCATTCATTCATTTATTCATTCATTAATAAGATGTGAAAGAAGTAAATCGGACTCACCATCACATGCCAAGCCGTCAACATTCAAGGTATAGCCGGCGTTACAAGAACATTCAAAACTGCCGTCAGTGTTCGCACAGGTCTGATTGCATCCACCGTTTTCTGTTGCACATTCGTCGATATCTAAAGAGAAATAAAACTCATGATCACGAAATCTTTTAATCAAGAAAAATTACCAACTTGAAGGCCACTAGACAGATAAAATCTATCCAGTGAGTAACTGTTTTTGTGCACCTCATCACCTGGATGTTTGACGTTCATCAAATCATATAACTATTATTATCTATTTATATAATTTATATATAATTAATATAATTAAGTTATATAATTTTCCTGGAAACAAAAGAAATATATGTAACATCCGTGTCCATAATATCACCAGGGTCCATAATATCGTAACGTTGAGAAATAGTGTGCTTTAAGATATTTTTACTGCAACATACCCTAGGTATGTACATTTGATGTGTGAAGGAGTGTATACCAAAAGTATGTTGCAGTAAAAATATCTTAAAGCACACTGTTTCTCAAGGTGGTGATATTATCGACCCTGGTGACATTATGGACACGGATGTTAAGCCTCAAAAGGGCAACTTATGTTTCAATAATGCAGTCATCTATTTATGCCTTTAGTTATCTATATATTACAGAAGCAGTTGTTTCATTCTTGGATTCAAACATCACCCTTTTATAATATACTGAAATAGACGATATCATCACAAAACACTTTTTGACTTAAACTTTGCAATCGGACTCACCATCACAGGCCAAGCCGTCAACATTCAAGGTATAGCCGACATCACAAGAACATTCAAAACTGCCGTCATTGTTTGTACAGGTCTGATTACATCCACCATTGTCAGTGTTACATTCGTTGACATCTGAAAAAAATTACATCAAGTTCTTCAACTCATTTCGTCCAACATTCGTGGGGTCGTGTGGCGCAACGGCAGCGTTCGCGACTCGGAATCAAGAGGTCCCGGGTTCGAGTCCTGACATGCCACCGATCTTGTGCCCTTGGGAAAGGTACTTTACACGACTTTCCCCACTAGACTCAAGTGAAAATGAGTATTGTCTGTCCAGTATTCGTTTCTATGTGCGGGACACAACACCAGCAACAGCTGCCTCTGTTCCGCGTGTATTGCACTGTTGCAATTTCAATAAATCAAAATCAAATCAAATCAAAATCATAGCATGCTCTGTACTATTTTCCCAAGGAGAGAACAAAAATTCAATACTTACTAAACGTAATACTTAAATCTGTATGTGTTTATCTATTTATGATTCATTTACATAGAGTAACAAGCATCCAACTTGAATCAACATGACAAAAACGTTTTTTGTCTGAGAGACTCACCATCACAGTTCAAGCCGTCGACATTCAAGGTGTAGCCTTCACCACAAGAACATACAAAACTGCCGTCAGTGTTCGCACAGTTCTGATCACATCCACCGTTGTTTGTTAAACATTCGTCCACATCTGAAAGAAATAAACCCGTCAAGCCCTATACTACATGTATACTAGTATGTAAATTTTATAAATTCTCACTTCAAATACGACAGATTTCAATAGACTACAATTGCTACAGATAGATTTGATTATATATTTAAATGCAACAGCCCACACAATGCAAAAATAGGTAAATACATAAAAGACTGTTTTGTTATTAGAAACAATACCGATTTGCTGTCTCATGTACCATAAATAAGTCCGTCTGATTGTAAAGCCTATGCTAACTTTTGATTATTTCTTTTCTATATATAAGTTGTTTCTATACCTAAGTTTATTCTATACCTATCTATTTTACTATGCTACTTATTGTTACCTATTTGCCATACAATGTTCCTGTACAATTGTCGTACAATAAACTTCTTCTTCTTCTGTAGAAAACAAAACAAAACAAGCATGGCGTTGTTGTGAATCGGTTTGAGCTTAAGGGTAACATGACAAAACAATTGGACTCACCATCACAGTCAAGTCCGTCGAGGTTCAAAGTATAGCCGACATCACAAGAACATTCAAAACTGCCGACATTGTTTGTACACGTTTGCGCGCATCCTCCATTGTCGGTGTCACATTCGTTGATGTCTGCAAACCATCGGCAAATCATTGTGCAGGGAAGGAAAAAATATCAAGACGTTTGCTGGAAGTGTGTGTTGCGTGACTCTAAACTTAAAACTAAACGTAATACTTATATCTGTATGTGTTTATCTATTTATGATTCATTTCCATAAAGCAACAAGCATCAAACTTGAATCAATATGACAAAAACTTTTTTTGTCTGGAACGCGAATGAGACTCACCATCACAGTTCAAGCCGTCGCCATTCAAGGTGTAACCGTCACCGCAAGAACATACAAAACTGCCGTCAGTGTTCTCACAGGTCTGATCACATCCACCATTGTCAGTGTCACATTCGTTGACATCTGAAAAATACAGCTCTATATTATTGTTTTGACAATAGAAAACAAATCAGTATGTCTTGAAAGGTATGTCAGCAATGCATTATCAACTTATCAGCTTGTTACTTGTATATCATCTTTGAACACAAGTTAAACATGTGGTTAGCATGAAAAACGAAATGTTAACTAGAAAGACAGAGCGACATTTGCTTTGGAGAAAATTCAGCATGGCTTCACCGCATTTCACGACATGGCATGGAAAGAAGGAGAAATACAAGGGAAAACAATTCTTTACATTGATATAACTATAGTGTGAAGTGACAACAGTTGGATAGTTATCCCCTACATTATTGGTTAGGATTTTTTATTGCATAATGCAAACTGTTGATTTTAAAGATAAAAGGAAGCGTTTATGCCCTGCATTCCAACGCTGGAGCAGGAAAGCTTGACATATCTACCAGCACACTTGAATGCAGTTAATACTGTCAGTATGGCATAGGTTTGTACAGGTACTAATCGAGTTAACCCAATCAAATACGAACAGCCAATCAGCAAGAAGAATAGAGGAAAGCTGCATGCCTATTGGTTGCTTGCTCTGTATGCCCTTCTGATGACTCGTGCCCAAATATGGTAACACACTGTTATATATAGTGCATTTTCTATAACACAGCCAAAAAGCTCAAATAAAACCATTTTAAAAGCCTGTATCACAAAAAAAATGAAGAAAAAAACACCTGGCGGTATTTGCCCACTCTACCTTCATGCCAAATTTCATGTTATTTGGCCCCAAAATGAAGGAGTTGATTCAAATTAAAGAAATGGCAAGAGAAGGAGGAGAAGAAGAAGAAGAAGAAACGTGAGGAAAAACAATATGACGTCACCACATAGTGGTGAAACCATAATTACCGTCACATGCAAGTCCGTCGACATTTAGTTGATAACCGACGTCGCCACAACTGCACGTGAAACTGCCCACCGTGTTGTCACAGCTGTCAGCACAGCCGCCATTACCGGTTTCACATTCGTCGACATCTGAAAAAAAAACACGTTAAAAAGCATGGCAAAACATTCACTGTTAAAAAGAAATGGCAAAACATTCACTGTTAGAAAGAAAATTTAACGACAATAACACGTTCATGTACAAGTATACTAGTTTTCAGAAGATACAAGGAAAAAATGGAATCTTTGCATTAGTTAGTTTGCTGAAAACCTAGTAATTATTTATTCCGCTTCAATTTATTGCAATGAGAAAACAAACGTGCCATGCATGCATACGAATATTAGAGTGAATAGTTCTCTATAAGTGTAACGGTTGGTAGTTAGGTAAAAGAAAAATTTGACTCCTACTGGTAAGCAAACGACTCACCATCACAGGCCAAGCCGTCACCATTCAAGGCATAGCCGACGTTACAAGAACATTCAAAACTGCCGTCAGTGTTCGCACAGGTATGCGCACATCCACCATTGTCAGTGTCACATTCGTCGATATCTGGAAAAACAAACACAAGCTGCAATTTTGTCCTTCTTTAAAGTATTTTTGCTTTTAGGTTTAGTCATTTCGACATTTTATGACCGGCACAATAGCTCAATTGGTAGAGTGCTCGCTTTGTAACCGGAGGTCGTGAGTTCAAACCCCGTCCGGGTCATATCAAAGACTTTAAAAATGGTACACACTTCTTTCTCTGCTTAGCACATATGAGAAAGAGTGTGGGAAGGTGAAACACACAGCACTACCAGCGGACTAGCCCCCTGCTGTAGTGCATTGCACAATTGTGTGTCGCCCAAGGGCTACGAAATGGAGATGGGCAACATCCTACGCTCTGCATAAGGGCACGGGAGACCTTTCCTTCCTTTCCTTTCCATTTCGACAGAAAACAACCATGTCATCGTTGGGTACAACTTATAGTTCACTGAAGGTGTGGACAGCATGGGAAAACATTGACTGTAATATAAATGTAGAAATAAATACGACTCACCATCACAGTTCAAGCCGTTGACATTCAAGGTATAGCCGTCATCACAAGAACATTCAAAACTGCCGACATTGTTTGTACAGTTTTGATCACATCCACCATTGTCTGTTACACATTCGTCCACATCTGAAAAATGAAATGAACACTTGCATGCTCTCTGCTATACTTTTCTGACAACAAAGGACATAACAGACATTAAATTTGGCATCGCTTTAGCTCAGTGTTGTTGCTTAACAGTATATATTGTAAATAACAATACATTACATTTAAAACTGCTTAGTAAACATATATCTCACTATTGTTGAAACAAAATCTATGTATGTCACAATTAAGCCTCGGTCACAACCCGCCGTACGTGCTTCTGCGTGCTGTCTACGTGCAAAAACGTGGGCAAACGTAGGGCATCTGTGCGTGGTGAGTACCGCCACCGTACGGAATCCTACGGATTTGGGAGCACGCAGACACGCCGTAGAACTTTAAGTGCATGTAAAACTTTTTCTACGTGCGATCTGCGGATTCACCACCCGTACGTGCAAGTATGAGCGACGAAGCGCGTGTGAGTACGGCCTCCTTACGGTAAAGTTGCAATCGCACATAGATCGTACGTTGTAAGCACGTACAACTAACGTACCACGTGCGCAACGTACGATGCACGCAACCGCTCACAGCTAGACGTCGCGTGCAGACCCCACTCTTACACCTTGCGAGTGACGTGCAAGTGACGTGCGTCGACGCCAGTCCTTCCCTACGTTTACAGAAAAACGTAGCAGACGTGGCCTCCCCAAAAAACGTACGGACAAAAAGCAGGTACGGCGGGTTGTGACCGAGGCTTCAGCAGTACCACCTAGCTCCAGTACACAGTGGTCTAGTTACATTAGCATGATGACAGACCGATGATAGACCGTCGTTGAAACGTTAGCTCTTGCAATTGTTAAATAAGTTTTAAAAGTTTATTGCAAATACTTGCCCGAGGGCTAATTGCAGTTACAAACAAAATAAGAAAGAAAATACATTGGTATGTGCTATATCTACGTCTAACATTATACTATATTCTACAACATACATGGTACTAGTTTTACTGGGTTTGACTTCTTCTTTTTAGGCAATGGAAGACAAATTTACCCACTTCTTCTATAATATGTGGGTTCTTTGATTTTAGTAGTAAAATTTTTTTGTGTGGTAGGGAATGGTGGGGAAGTAAGGGAGCATTTTGGACACGGTGGTAAATAATTGTTTTCTGATGTCATCATAAAATGGACATTTAGAGATGAAATGAATTTCGTCTTCCACTGCATTTGAGGAGCAATTCATGATGTCAGATATTCTGTCAGTAATGTTTCCATCTAATATGCACTTGTTTTATCTAATATCTAAAACAAAATGTCTGTCATCCTTCGGTACAAATTATACAAATTGATTAGAGTACTGAAAGCGTATATGGGCTGTATGACAAAACACCTTTTTCTTCTCTAGTTTTACAATTATACAAATGAGACTCACCATCGCAGGTCAAGCCGTCACCACTCAAGGCATAGCCAACATCGCAGGAACATACAAAACTGCCGACAGTGTTCGTACAGTTATGCTCACATCCACCATTGTCACTCTCGCACTCGTTGACATCTGAAAAATATAGCTCTACATTATTGTCTTGACAATAGAAGACAAATCAGTATGTAAGGTACGAAAAAGCAACAGAAAGAGAAACAGAAGACAAGACAGAGCGCAAATGTTTCCTTCTGCCAGGGTTAACATCATAATAGTCTTAAAAATTGAATAGCAAAGTTCTTTTTATCACAACCATTTATTTTTCATGAGTGTCAGTGCACAGTAAACCAATCAGAATTGCCTTGATGAAGATTACAGACGGTCATCGAAACGTCGGCTCATGAAAAATAAATGGTTGTGCATGATAAAAGAACTTTGCTATTCAGTCGTTTACCAACCTGATGAAGTTATTTACGGAGTCTTAAAAATTGTTTTCTGGTAGCGAGAATAGTGTGGAAGACCAGCTGCAGTATGTTACTTGTATCTATAAACAACACGTCTCACCATCACAGTTCGTCTCGTTTGCATTTAAGACGTAGCCAACATAACAGTCGCATTCCCAGGCTCCATCCAAGTCGATACAGATCTGCTCACATCCACCGTTGTAGGGGGTACACTCGTCAACATCTCAAAAATAAAATGACAGACCTTAAGCCATACTTAAAAACATTCTACACTTTGTATTATTTTCCTAATAAAAAGATAAATATTTCATCATCATCATAAATATTTAAACTCCCTAAAATGAGAAATAATAGGAATGGTATTCGTCTACTTATGTATTTACGTTTGTATTCATTACAATGAATAACAGCCATACCATGCTTAGAAACAAATGTACGTCACGTTAGTGCACCTTTTGTGTTTGTGGCTTCTTAGCAAAATAACGCGAGTATATTTAAATAGATGTTCATGATTTTTGGTAGGCAAGCTACCATTGTAGAAGCCAAGGTCAAGTTTGAAAACGGGCCTCGTGGGGGGTCCCTATGTCGCTGCAGTGGACCTTTTGTGTTACATATACAAAAAATGTATAATGGTAGTTTCAGTCTGTACATGCTTTACTGAAAGGGTGGGTAGAATGGCAAAACATTATTTCAGTAAATGGGCTCACCGGCACAGGCCCAGCCGTTGGCATGTAAGCTATAGCCCGTCCAACACGAGCACTGAAAACTGCCATTATTGTTGATACAAATCTGCTCACATCCAGCATTGTCAGTCAAACATTCGTCGATATCTGAAAAAGGACATACTTTTTAAAGATTCTGTAATGCTCTGTGCTGCAAAATACTTGTATACATGTATGTACTCCTTTAAAGTGATAAGTTTTTATTCAGATATGTATTGATTTATCTATATTGTGTGGTTATCTTTGGATAATTAATTTCAATTAACATTTGTTTTCTTATCTCCCCTACAACTAAAAAGCCGAATTTATCTGTCTATAACTAGTTGATTTGTTCATCATGCTTTGTTGTGATCTGTACTTAGCCCATTGTGGCGACTCACCATCACAGTTCAAGCCGTCTGCATTCAAGACATAGCCGTCATCACAAGAACATTCAAAACTGCCCACATTGTTCGTGCAGGTATGCTCACATCCACCATTGTTGGTTATGCATTCGTCGACATCTGAAAAATGTATATCTGTCGCTTGTAACGGTTTGATACATGGTATATTTTGTTAGGATCCCCCCTTCCCAAAACACACATGTATGTGGGAACTAGAAAGGGAAAATTTGCAAAGCAAATGCCTATCTAAGCCCATCTAACTCTGTCCTGCAACTTGCTACATAATGTAATCCAACACCAACACCAACATCTGCTACAGAGCCAGTTACCATGTTGACAGCCGTTTTATTTAAGGTCCAGGTTATTAAATTGTTTCTTTGAAGAAGAAGAGGAAAAGGGCAATAACAATGTATTTCCTTCTGGCAAACATAAGAAACAAGTATTTCACATCATGAAACGCCGGCAAGTCAGGAAACGCCAGCAAGTCAGGAAAGCCGGATTGAATATTACCATCTCACTTAGGACTGCCTATCACATGGCAATAGCTGTAAAATAGCATTATCAATGAAAGCTGACATATGGAGGTAAGGCCCTGTTCACATGAAGTTAGTGAAGATGCTTTACATGCGGTTTACCCCGAAACCGGTTCCAAGTGGCTCCATCTGAACGCTCCAAATCACTTTGAAAGCGCCTCGATCCCAAACCACTTCTAGAGGCAGTTTCGAATCGGTTTTCCCGCATCGCGATTTGCGCCTGAACTCAATGTGATTTCAATGTGACTTCACTCGGTCATGGATTACGGGGAAATATTTCTTTATTTATATTCAATACCAAATTTACGTGGCAGCAACTTAAAGAGAAGTAATGGTCAAATAATGTGTCCGTTCTAGGGCGAGCTTCACCGCCTCTGGCGGGACCACGTCGGCATTCGGCCGAGATACGCTGGGAGGGGGGCACCAGCAAGCAGGTCGTTGACCTCTGACAATAATAACACGCTACCTTGCGTGTTTTCATAAAACAACAATGAATGCAGTTTCGGAGAATCGTGATCGGGCACGGTTTAAAAGGTATGTATGGCACGTGTACCAGATGTGAGGAATGCGAGTTACCCAAATCGCGGTTTGGATGGTTTCATATGAACAAGGCCTAAAACGTACCTACTGTACAGTTGTCTCCGGTCCATCCAGGTGTGCATTCACAGGTGTAGGTATCTATGCCGTCAGTACAGGTGCCACCGTTTTCACATGGGTCGGAATGGCAGTCGTCAACTATCATTTCAACGGAAAAAGATGTCATCATGTCTAATATCTACATGTAAGTCAGTGTCAATGTACCTACATGTAAGTGAACCAAAATCTGCAAGGGAAGATAGTTTGCCATATTGCAATGTGTGTTTATGTGTGTGTTTGTGTGTGTGTTTGTCTGATTGTGTGTGTATGTGTGTGTGTGTGTGTGTGTGTGTGTGTGTGTGTGTGTGTATGTGTGACTGACATAGAAGCTGATAGTTTAGTGTATAGTGAATTACGCATATGAACATACAATCAAGAAGTGCTATTTGTCCTGAATTAGCTCTGGAAAAAATAAGCAAACCCTCTGGTCAATAGAATTTTTTTTAGAATCTCACGGTTTCTATAGTTTGTGACAGCCAATCCTATGTTGAGCAATATTGGAGAAAAAAAATAACGGCTCTTGGTCGCAAATGTGCAGATGTTGACACATCGGCACACCAAATCCGTAGTGTGTTTTTGGCACACAGTTAGACAGATTAGCCTAAGAGGCTCGGTGGGCGTCACTCCACCGTACATGGTGGGGAAGTCGTGTAAAGTGCCTTTCACAAGGGCACAACGTCGGGCCACGGTGAGTATCGAACCCGTGACCTCTCGGTTCCGAGTCCAACGCTCTAACCGTTGCACCACCGACGCCACACTATGTTGGAGACATAAGTGGAAAAACTTACATTCACACACTAGATCGGTTCCTTTCCATTCTCCATTATTACACAGTATGTCCTCATCGCCTCCGATCTGGTAGTAATTCTCCGGGCAGGCGAAGGTGCAGGTATGGCCGGCAGGATAGGGGGCGCTGCTGCCACCGCAATCTCTGGGGTAACCCTCGGGGTGGCTGGGAGTTGTACTGCATGGGTTACCTGTGGGGATTAAATAAAAAACGGTTGATGAAATCTTACAAAACACGTTGTTGGTGTCTAAGAACGCTGTCTAATTTTCCTAATGTTTACGTTAATACCCATTTTATTCATTCCCAGACACATGGCATATCGTAATACTAGTACCTACATTTACAAACTACAGGTAAGACTATGGCACCCCAGAAGTGTATATAAAGTCGTCCTTGTCACATATTTAGAATCTTCCCCCGATCACCAACAAACCAAAGTTGGCTGACGTTCGGAAATAGTCTGATCAGATCGACTTAGGCCAGGCCTACATTTCCATATGAATCGAATCAAATTTCAGTCAAACTTTACTCCCAACCACACACCAAGCACGACTGCAAACATTTCTAAACATTCATCTGGCGCGAGCGAACAGTAGTCGACCGCACTGAACACCAGCCAACTACAGCCGACCACTCCCGACCTACTCCCGACCTACTCCCGACCTACTCCCGACCTACTCCTAACCATGGCCGAGTTCAGCAGTGTTCGGGAGGTAGCCCGAGGCAATATACGTTAATGTGTGACATCGGGGCTGATATAGTTTAGTGCTAGCTACAAGAATACAGAAACAATCCTACACAGAAAATGGATACTTGAAAGTTAAGTACATGGCGTTGGGTGGCGTAGTGGTAGATCATTCGACTGTGAACCGGGAGACCCGAGTTCGATCCCGAGTCATACCCGGTACATGTCTGAACATGCGCCCCGACGTTGTGCCCTTGGGAAAGGCACTTTACACGACTTTCCTCACTCCACCCAGGTGTGAATGGGTACCTAACTTCGGTTGGGGAAAGTCGTATTGAGGTCACCTTGTGGCGCCGAATGGCAGCCGCACAGACTCTTGCGGTAGTTCCACAATGTGGAACAAATATTTATCATGTGTATTGTTTGTATTATTATGTGTATTGTTACAATTTGTATCATCTGATTGTAAACCCTGCATCAATTCAGCACTATAAGGCTGCGATTGCACGGGTGATGTTTGGCCAATAAACCATTTATTACATGTACTCACACAAGCACTCCAGGCCGCGTCCACCAGCCCAGCGGATAGGCCGGATTTTACACTCCCTCTCTCTTGCCCCTGAGTCCCTGACGCACCCTGACCTACACGCGAAAGTGCAGATCGTGCCTTTGGGGTAGCCGTTACTGTTGGGTGCTTTGGTGCAGGATGATGTTGTGTCCGCTAGAGTCAGAGGCGGGCACCTTGCTGGAAAATACCAAATTATCTGCAAAATTACGAGCACATCGCAAACTTAAGTTCCTCATAAATAATGCAAATGGAGTTATGGTTTGAATAAATTATGTTTATTGATGTTCACCTTCGCTTCCAAATGTGGCAAGTATGAACTGCCTAGCAGTTACCACTAGGGAATTATAGCAACTTGCCATTAATTATGCAAATTAGGTCTTCATTTACATAATCTAAATATGCAGATGTTCCTCTCATTCTCAATTACAGATGTCAGAAGGGTTCCATAGGCCTTTTATGGAATACAGCAGATTTATAGATATTTTAATCAAGTAATCCCCCGCGTAAGTAGAGACGGCGTAAACCAATCAATGTAGCACAGGTGAATCCAGACAGGTGGTAATTAGGGATGCCACGTAAGCAGGGGAAAGTAATAAAGGGGAGAACACAGCAGAACACAAGGAACTAGTCACACGTTCGGAACCAGGACAAAGACGCTGGAGGGATGACTCAGCGTCCACGTCGATACGAACCCACTTGGCCCAGGTGCCGCGAGAACAGCCCCAGTCGCCTGCCCCGCCGACGGTCCCGCCTCAGCCGCCGCCACAGGGAGCGCAAGCCCTGCCGCCGAAGGCCCCAGTTCCGACTCGCTCCCTGGTCCCGCAACAGCCAGGCGACCTATGTCAGCCAACGGGGGCTCCGCGCCAGGCACCACCATCGGATGCACTACATGCACCATGTACCGATGGTATTTTACCCAACAACTATTATGTGATTGTGCTTAGTCTCTCGTCAGCTATGTCCCCTTGTACATATATTGTAGTATTGTTACCGCCTTTCGCTTAGGTATGTGGCTCGGTTCGTACTGGCAATGGACGGAATTTGACATTGTAATGGGGAATTTGGCCACGTCATTAGTAATGGGGGACTTGGAGTCCGGTATTATTGACAACAATTGTGGAATGGATGGAATTTGGCCACGTAATTGGTAATGGAGGACTTGGAGTCCGGTACTGTGGAATGGACGGAATTTGGCCACGTCATTAGTAATGGAGGACTTGGACTCCGGTATCGGGGAATGGATGGAATTGGTACGCGTATGAAACCCACGTTTGAAACGTTGATTTTTGAACCCGATTGCTACCTGGAACTTCTCGAACGATAAGACGATAGGAACACATCTAAGCCAAGTCATACCGCCACATACCCACATGGTATTACCTTGCATTTATTTTATTGTATTGTATGGCGTTAGGTCAACGCCTTTCCGTGGTGAATCGAAAAGGGAAGACAGAAATCGCAACCGGACGTAAAGAAATAATAATACAACAAGAAGCACTGTCAGTCAACATCTAAAGCTTCTATTAAACGAGGTAGTCATGCACTCTGGCGACCAGATCATTCTGAGCCTCAGTACCTGGGGTGCTGACACGCCTCCTCTCCAGGGTTTAATGGTTTAATACTAACTCTAGCGGTCCACATGGACATACACGTTCTGACGTCATTACTTTCGTCACCAGTTCGTGCTACTGCCTTAGGAGATAGGGGTAAGGGACTAAAACCAGCCTCCCAACACACCTCCCAACTAACTATTGGGTAGACATGGAGGGGAGGCGCGTCAGCGCTGTAGGTCCCGTCCCAGAGGGACGAACGCATAGGGGAACAGTTAATAATTTTGTGGTCCAATGCTGAAAACGACCAAATACTTACGTTTGGGAGTACTAGTATCATGAAGAAGGTTTGGGAATCCAGGAAAGTTGGGGAAGCAAAGATAAGGCTGGGAGCAAGAATAAGGATGGAAGGATAAGGTTTGGGTAGTAAGGATAAGGTTTGGGTAGTAAGGATAAGGTTTGGGTAGTAAGGATAAGGTTTGGGGAGTATTAAAGAATAAGGTTTGGGGAAAAGGGAGGAGGTGGGGAAGGAGGTGAAGGGGACGCCGGGGACACGGAAGGATAGATGTGAAGAGGAAGACGGAGGAGGTGCAGAAACGTCCCACTTCCACCCGATATCAATCCCCATACCTAACATGTGAGACGTCTCTACACAATAGCGGAGGGATACTTGATTGAGATAGAGCCATATTTTAATCAAGTAATCCCCCGCGTAAGTAGAGACGGCGTAAACCAATCAATGTAGCACAGGTGAATCCAGACAGGTGGTAATTAGGGATGCCACGTAAGCAGGGGAAAGTAATAAAGGGGAGAACACAGGAGAATACAAGGAACTAGTCACACGTTCGGAACCAGGACAAAGACGCTGGAGGGATGGCCACAAGGAAACCAAGACGTGAGGAGGGTACGGGCGGGGGGGGGGGGTAGGGCGAGGGGAGGGGGGGCCACAAAGGAATCAGCCACCTAAACGGCTGTCCACCCAACCGAACATCTATTGTCCACCAAAAATCCGTGACCCTAGCATGCCTACATCACGAGATATCAAAACCGGAAGTTTTGCTGCAATACCTAAAAAAGCCGCCAGGGGTCCCAAAATCTAATCATTTCTAGATCTAATAAAGAGCCACCCACCCACCAAGTTTCATAACAACCCATCAAAAGCTTCTTGAGTTATCGTGCTAAACCACATACATACACATAAACGCTATGGAAAACATAACCTTCTTGGCGAAGGTAAAAAGTAAATGAGGACGCCCCAGAAAATGCCTTTCTAGTTAAATTGATTATCTGATCAATTGATTAATGAATACTATTGATTAAATAACTTACGTGCACCAGAGACAGATGTCCCATGGAGGACCACCAGGGCAATGGGAATCAGAACGCAGAGGTTGACCCTGAAAACGTTAGAAGTATTTTAAATTCACCAATTTCACACTTCCCATAATGCCTAGTAAAGGTCACGGATATGAAGTAAGACCACCCTCTTCCTCGATGTAATATTTCCAACAAGTTCTATCGACAAACTGGTCAACTATTGTTTTGAATTATTTCTCTAGTATATTAGAACGATAGAAAGTACGTCATTTTCTCTAAAGAAGGTGCGTCATTTTCTCTAATTCCAACAAAAATGCAATTATGGCATGCGCTTTATACTAGAGAAATAATTCAAAACAATAGTTGACCAGTTTGTCGATAGAACTTGTTGGAAATATATCATCGAGGAAGGGGGAGGAGGTGGTCTTACGTCATATCCGTGACCTTTACTAGGCATTATGGGAAGTGTGAAATTGGTGCATTCTGATGTGATGTGATGAATGAGTGAATGAACTCGACAGTCGTACAGCATACAATATATGACAACAACAATACTATAAGACTGCATTTTTTTTACATGAGAATATAATCGGTAACAGTATAAGAGTAACATTATCTTCATGGAAGGTTTAGTCTCGCTTCTTGGATGAAGTAAAAAATAAAATGCAAGATGTTTGAAATTACGTCAACTCTGTTTTCTCATAGGAAAATGTTACAACTTCGGCCCGAATATCTGCTCGGAGATTTACCATTTACCAGTATTAATGTCATTTGTCATGTCAATATAATGTTCTTTTCAATTACTGAATGAAGACCTTTATTGTACACACATACCCACTGGGTTAAATACAGGCCACAAGAATGGAATGCAGTTAAAAGGCCGGGCCCATGAAAGGAGGGGAAAATGAGCTTAACTGTACTTACAATGTAGTACGGACGTCAAAGGTAAACACGTCAATTTAGATAATGAGATGTGATTCTACCAGTTGATAACATAAATTACAGGCAGGGCACGTCAACAACAATGACGTCTGTGCATAAGGACACACCGAAAAATTCTGGCCAAAAATTAAAATGCTGCTAAACCACATGAATAAAAAGCTGGTATTGTGAATTCGCGACAGTACTTAGCGACGTATACGATATGCTGGCTTTTTGCGGCATTTATGAATCGGTACTGTACTTATGTACTGAGTTCTTGAGTCGTGGAGCTTCGAATTCGATAGCCTGGGTGCTCGGCTCCGTATTGTCGCTGACTACCATGTACGAGGCCTAGAGCCAGGCCAGAGCCTCGGTGGAGGTGATCTTTTCTTTTGGGGGCGACAGTCGAAAATCAATGCGCGCGGATGTCATCCATAAAATTAAGTCGGTGTGGCCTAACAAAGACAAAATTGTTGTTGATATCGTTGTCAAGCAAAGTTTTCTTTGAAAAAAAGGGGGAGAAATGAAAGAATTTTCATTGTGTGTATAGTCTTGAGTAAATGTTGTTGTGTGCTTATGTAGCATAAGTAGCATAATGAAAAGATCATCCACACAACGTTAACATCACAGGGAAACATTTGTACTCTGTAGCTTTCATCATAGCCCACTTTCAAACAGCGAGGCATTGCGTGATGTGAACAAAAAAGGCATGGGTTCGACCAGAAGATAAAATCTTTTCACTATAGACAGAATGGAGGTAATTGCACACCCGCGCTATTGTTCCACATTCTTAGGCCACACCGCCTTAATTTCATGGATGACATCCACGCGTGCATTGATTTTCGCCTGTTCTCAAAAAAAAAAACCGTCCTCCGAGGCTCTGACCTGGCTCTAGGCATGGATAGTCCATGGTAGTTAGCGACAGTACGGAGCCGGTGTTAACATCCAGCAAATTCAGGATACCAGCTTTGTATTCCTGTGGTTTAATAGGATTTTTATTTTGCGCCTGATATTTTTTATTCGCCCGCGAGCACTTGTTTGGGGGTCTTCAGAGGATGTCATCCATAAAATTAAGGCGATGTGGCCTTAGTTCCTGATTTGAGCTTTCGCTGCTTCACCGCCAGTATGACAAGGGTTAAAAAGGGTACTTTTAGTATATAACAGCTTGGCGTAAATTGTTTTTTCTTTCCTAGGGGGTGACAAAGAACGATCCGGATAACTAGCTACTGCTGTGCGACGTGGCAACTATAATATCTACGTCTTGATTCTATCATTGTCTGGGTAATTACTGGGTAGCACAAACATCGCTGTCCTTGGCCTTATACATCCGTTCTTTTATCTGTACTGTAACTGAAAAGCAAGAAGTTGAATTTATCTAATGATAGCTAGTTTTATTTTGTATATACATATGTTCCTCCTGTTTTGTTTTGACCTGTACGTAGCCTAGTGTGGCAGAAATGTGCAAAATTATGCCTGCTGCGCTGCGTATGGAAGAATTGTCCATGCGCAACTCGCACGCAGTGACTATATGCAGAAGTGTGCCAGGGCCCGAAGGTACAGAAGACACAAGCCGGTGATGTTCCCAAGGCTTTGACAGGAGCAAACTATAGTCGATCAGTCCGTTCTTTATCGTGCTCGATGCTTTGGGGCAGACAGTACTATTAGATCTGGCCATAGGAACAAATGCTTAAATACACTACGAGTATTATAAGTCCTCATGAAAGTACTTGCCCATATTTCAATCTCAATTTTTTTTCTGCACCAAGTAGCCACAAGGGTCTGATTCCCAAAAATGGAAAGGAAACAGGGGGTCAACCATCCCAATTCCCGCCACAGCTGATGATAGTGACAAAACCTCAACTTTGACCTAATTTTTCATGGTATCCATCCGCCTGGCTAGACAAGACCTAACCACTCACATCTCTCATTACACCCACTAAACTGGTGAAATAAACAAAACCTGACCAACGTAGGAATGTTTAGACCCTACCTGTGCCTTCCAGCCCAAAAATCTCCAAAATGGACCAAAATTTCAAGAGAAAAATGGGATTTTTAAAGGTATTAACTAGGCACTACAATCCCTTTGCTCAACGGTGCACACACCAGTCCGGAAAAAAAGTGACGAAGGGGTTCCGATGGTTCATGTTTGAGTTTACATTTCTCATAATCTGCTGCAAAATGGTATTAACTACTAACATATTCCATGTTTGAGGAGAGACACACCTCAAGCACGTTAAAGAACCCACGTGAGTGAAAGTGGAACAAACCATTATGGAATTTCCCCAGCCTCGTAACCCCTGCTTCTCCTATTGGGTCAGTTAGTCCTCACTACTTGTGAGAAATTGGGCTGGTCTCAATCTTGATGTTTCTGACTCAGGGAGAAGAGTTGCTGTTACAGTTCTACTCGGTAACCCGTAACCATTCAGGTGGTAATGCCATTCAGGTGATACCATTCCGGTGGTTAACCAACATTGAAGTGGCCTAATGGCCGTGTTACGTGGCGACCACTAAGTAAAAAATTTAAAAAAAACTGCCAGTGCGAGTTCATAGCCCTACGAGCTTAAGCCGTTCTCACATTCGTCGTGCGAGATCTGGACCATATTGCAAACTGAGGAAATTCTCTGAATAGTTGTACATATGTCGTACATAAGTCTGCTGTCTTGTTACCGAAAAGGCTAGCCTCCTACGCAGACTTGTTGGGAGTTGGCGTTCTTTTTTTCTGTGAGCGACGCGAGTAATATGCCGCAGAGGGACGATTTTGCTGCCGAGGGAGTTTTCTCGCTCACGCGGAGCGCGAATCCTTCTCTCCCGGCAAAAACTCCCTCGGCAGCAAATCGTCCCTCCGCGGCCGCGCAAATTACTCGCGTCGCTCACATAAAAAAATAACGTTGACGCCCAACAAGTCTGCGAAGGAGGCTACGAAAAGGTAGTCGGTGGTTGCATGCTTTTTTAAATTTTGTATTCCAACATGTAATCACCAGACGTGGTGACGATACACTCAAGTTTTTTTCAACTTATATTAATGCCGTCACCAATACAGGGGACAAATACATGACAGGACAATACATGGCAGGACAACTCTGAGCTAAGTGAGGAAAGTTGTGTAAAATGACACAAGATCGGTGGCATGTCAGGACTCGAACCCGGGACTCTTAGTTCCGAGTCGCGCACTCTGCCGCTACGCCACACGACCCCACATGGTTGCATGGTTCTGTCACAGTCTGCTAACTACGACTACGCCCTAACCACAAATGTACAAATCTCCAACAAAGAGGGCATGAAACTCACCTGAATATGCAACTTACATTCCACAAATTTGAAGTAATTTGTTATAGCAACATTCTGTATCGATGTTACACAAAAGTTACACTTGTACTCACCCCATGGCTGCACTTCTTTGAGGAGCTACAGAAGAACCGACTCTCCTCAGACGAGTAGTTTTGCTGGACTGCCGTCGGCGCGGCATACAGGGCGTTCTGTTAAAGACTTCGGACTAAAATAGGATGACCTTCACAAACGTAAGCTCTCACCTTTAGTGACGTCAAGCTCATTTTGCCCGCTATTGTGTACAGATCGTGACGAACAATTTTCTAAGATTATCTGTATCTGTATCTGTAAAGCCGGTATATCCGCCTTTCGGCGTAACACACCAGCTTAACAAAGCATTAACGTTACAGCAGTTTAAATCCTCACAGTAGATAGTTAATCATCATAGCGTGGTAAGCCACAATCTGTACCAAAATGTCGTATCTCCGAATACTGTTTTTTGAGACAACTTAAGATTAGTACTAGTAGTTGTGTTGAAGACTTTCTTCTTCAGAATTTAGAGAAAATGTCATTATCGGTAAGATACAGGGGTACGGATAATGGCATTCTACGCAGATCTATTGTATATGCACTAAGGCTTGTTTTTCGTCATTACTAATGTCTGAAACGTCAGTTAAAACCACAAATGGTTAAAAGGTTATCGAACATGCTAGATGTCATTGTATTCTATACAATAGTGAACGGTGTGTTTTGCGTGTGTGATACTTGCTAGTCGTCATATGACGTGTGGCACATGGGTGTAACCTACAAACCTTTGTTTGTAACTTGCGCGACCACATACTAACAGGGATTCTACAAATAGCAGCGCATCGTACAGAAAATGACAGGTCGCGACCGAGCATTCATCACTGTAATCTGTCACTTCCCGACATTTGATCTGATACTGAAATTAAAGAAACTGTTTCTCGCACAAAAAAGACCCTATTCACCAATTTCACACTTCCCATAATGCCTAGTAAAAGTCACGGATATGACGTAAGACCACCCCCTCCCCCTTCCTCGATGTAATATTTCCAACAAGTTCTATCGACAAACTGGTCAACTATTGTTTTCAATTATTTCTCTAGTATAAAGCGCATGCCATAATTGTATTTTTGTTGGAATTAGAGAATATGACGTACCTTCTATCGTTCTCTGGGACAATGACATCCTCTGGGAACCCCAAAACTGATGCGAGTGTGCAAATAAAAAAGAACAGTTAGGCCACAGCAAGTAATTTTTATAGATGGCATCAGCGTGCGCATTAATTTTCGCCTGATTTGGGGGAAAAAAAAAACAAGAAACTTTGTTGCCTTTTGACGGTGGTCAACATGCCGAAAATGCGCAAAGATGTCTGTTGCCATGCCAGAACGTGGATGGCAGAAAACTATGAAGAGAGGAGACAAGAAAAGGCTCTGATTTAATTTTTTTTTACTTTGATGCAGTGATATGTGATGCTGGCTGTGTATATGTGATGTTCCCACTGAATCAAAACCATTTGTACAATGATTAAGTCAAAATTTGAAAATGTAGGACCCTTGTTTTTATGGACCCGCCTTGTTTTTTTTTCGCCCGCTTGCATTAGATTTGGAGTCTGCGGAGGATGTCACCAATAAAATTTACTTGCTGTGGCCTTAGGCAAAAATATTGCTTTCATCATGAAATCTACGTGGTCATGAAGGTTGAAGATATGACACAGAGTATGGTATGGCGAATAATCTACTCTTCAAATTCATTTCTTTACATTTTCGTCTTTTTCGTTTAATTTTGGCATTCTACGACATTGGTATCGTTTTCCAATATATTTGATTTGCAACTTACGATAGATATTTGCTCATTTTGCAACTGTTTTGTACGATTTACATTGTGGTTAATTTTTTTTGGAAACGGACGAAAACGCATTCTTCGCAGATCTATTGTACATGCACTACGGCTTGTTTTTCGTCATTACTAATGTCTGAAACGTCAGTTAAAAACACAAATGGTTAAAAGGTCATCGATTATGCTAGATGTCATTGTATTCTATACAATAGTGAACGGTGTGTTTTGCGTGTGTGATAATTGCTAGTCGTCATATGACGTGTGACGGGTGGTCTTACGTCATATCCGCGACCTTTACTAGGCATTATGGGAAGTGTGAAATTGGTGCATTCTGATGTGATGTGATGTGAAGGTATTTTTTTAGTATAAAGCGCATGCCATAATTGCCATAATTGGTATCAGTAGATAGAACTATAATACTCCTAAATACCCAACGATATATGGATATGAATATAGGGGTACGTACGTTTTACGACTGAGTCTGCTTGCTGAAGGACGGGGGGAAGTTGAAGATTTTCGCAAGGTCAGCGGCTGTCTTGGTATCGTATGATATTCCTCTTGAAATCTCAATTACAATTGTCATCTCTACATGACATATCTACATATGATACATTCCTTTATTGAAGTATACTGTTATTAGCCTGGGTTTCATCCTGGTTAGTTTACGTCCGCTCCCACAGTCGCGTGGTAGCGACTGTGGGAGCGGACGTAAACTAACCAGGATGGAACCCAGGCTATACGAGTTTACTGTTATCATGATATGTAAACAAAAACAGTCGCGTGCGGGTGGCGCTACACTACAAACTCCATATGTGCGTTGTGCCGCTGGCTTTCAGTTTCAAACTGCATTTTGCGATCCACTTCCAATTTTTCCGGGTAGCAGCCCGCATAAAATTACGCACCCCAAGTTTGAGGGCAACCGCGGCAAAAACGGGGCCCCGGTTTTTACAGTTACGGGGCCCCGGTTTTTACAGTTACCCTCTACCAAAGACTCTCCTACTCGCACGGTCGCATTACGTATATTAGGCCACACTGATTTAATTTTATGGATGACATCCGCGCGCGCATTGATTTTCGCTTGTTCTCCAAAAAAAAAAAAAAAAAATCATGTCTTTTGAGGCTTCACGGAACTCCGGAACTCGGCTGGAACTCGGTACAGACTGCCGACTCATGAATGCCGCAAAAGGACGGCTTATCGTAAAACTTCTTTTGTACTACCGCAAAACGTAAATTTTGTCGTAAATGAACCCTTTGCACATGCGTACTAGCTACACTAACAATGTAGAGCGCGAAGTTTGCAAGAGATGGCGGGGCAGCGTCGTCCTCAAAGTACGTCAAACTGGAGGCGTTGTTGTCGACTGGTATGCCATCGACATTGGCGAGGGGGATGTAACGTTTGCCCAGCTTTACGAGCGACTCGTGGCAGCCAGCGAGTATCGCCCGGACAGACGTCCTTTCCAGAGCGGCCACCACACGTTTGAGAGAAAATGGGAGCTGTGTTGAGGTGGCCTTTAAAGTGGGTCAGGCCACTTCTCAGTGCAGTTCGGCTGTTTTGTCCGTATTGTTGTTGACAAAACTGCAACAACTAAAGCCAAAGATTGTCAGCAGAAGTCAGCTTTTGAGGTAAGAATAGTTCAGTTATTTTTTGTTTGTTTTGTTTTTCTGATTTCGATCCAGTATCCGTTGCAAAATTTATGGGGAGGGGCGCGTACACGTGTTATGATACAGACAAAATAAAGTCAATGATTTACAGTAGTTTTATGTAGATTATGATGTTGTAGTCATATGGCAAATTTCCAACAAGATGCATTTCTTCATGCAAGTTTTTTGTTAATTTTCTGTTGGGTGTATTTTTTAATAGTGAGCTCTTGCAAAAATTATTTCACAAAATTTCCTATTTGAAAAATGATTTTTATTTCTCTGTTTCACATCCGTTTTGTGCAGGGGCCCTGGGCTCTTTCATGTAGTGCACCAGTGGAGGTGTACTCTGCGCGAGTCAAGTCTAGGGCACTGGCCATTCTGCCACTGGTATGCTGGCAGTGTGGGGAAACAGACACGCTTCCCATCCCTCCAGAGAAACTGCAGTGTTTCAGAGCATTCATCCAGTGTGCCAGGTGGGTTAAATATTATTGTGTACCTCATGTTTTAATTGTACATTCATTCTCACCCGCATTAGTAATGTTGTAATTTTTACAATACACTTACAATTTTATTTGGAAACATACATTCCAAGAGTAAATCGATTTTGCATACCATGTCATTTTTCTGTAGGTTTGCAAAGCCACTCGTGTTGAAGAGCGTACAAGAGTAAAGAGAACGCTGGAGAGGAAGGGATCTAGAGAGGAAGAAGATGGACCACTAACTTTCAGGTGGGTACTGTTTCTGCTCTACCTTTTACATTTTGCCCAAAATATTGATCTCAAACTTTTATCTGAAATAAAATCCACATCTATTCAATCCCCTTGTTGTATGCACTTCTACAGGGTATAAAGTATAAACTATATACTGTATATATAATTCATGTATATATCTACCTACAATGTAGGTCAAGCAATACCTTTACATTTTTCTGTAGGGAGAGAAAACTGCGAAGGAGGAAGCTGCGAAGGAGGAAGCTGTGAAGGAGGATGAGACCTGAATAAGACTAACTACATCTACCTCCTGCAAATAAAAACTTGTTTGATGCAGTCACTACATGTCCTGTGGTTCAATCCGCAATATCGGCTTTGTATTCCTGTGGTTAAGCAGCATTTTTTTTTTTTGCTGAATTTTTTTTTTTTTCGCCCTCTCGCATTAGTTTTGTGGTCCCCAGAGGATGTCATCCATAAAATTAAATCAGTGTGGCCTTAGAACGATAGAAGGTACGTCATTTTCTCTAATTCCAACAAAAATGCAATTATGGCATGCGCTTTATACTAGAGAAATAATTCAAAACAATAGTAATGACCAGTTTGTCGATAGAACTTGTTGGAAATATTACATCGAGGAAGGGGGAGGGGGTGCTCTTACGTCATATCCGTGACTTTTACTAGGCATTATGGGAAGTGTGAAATTGGTGAATGGGAAGAACAGGGCTCCATTGTGCAACTCGCATCAGACTCCCCATTAACTGGAGTATGTTGTTTGGAGATTTCGGGAGAATTTCACCCTAACCACTGCCAACAAAACATTAGCGGAAGTGAAAGAATGACCTTTGATTCTGCCCCCCTCCCCCTGCCCAAATATTTTTTTTTTCTTCACGTGTGGGTTCTGTAGTCCCCTGCACTTTCACACAGGGCCCTGGAGTGGGTAGATTCATCCAGAATGATATTCAGTATTTGAGCTAAGGCCACACCAAGTAAATTTTATGGATGACGTCCGCGCGCGCATTGATTTTGGCCTGTTCCTAGAAAAAAAAAGAAATTCCGCTTCCTGTAACTATGACCAAAGAGTCACGACAGTGCCGCAAATCGTTAGATTGACGTGAACCCTGTAACGCGAAATGGGTAAAGAGCACGCTTTGTTTCTGCAGGCCTGCAAAAATGTGATGAAAGAAACAGGACGATTACTGCTGTTCCACCTGATTTATTGCTGTTTTGATGATAAATAAAACAAGACTTCTTGCTTGTTAATCTGTGTCACCTCATTCAATTTGTGTCCTAACATTTGTCGTCTCTTAGTATATTTCTAATCTAGGCATCTTGTTTTTAGGGCACTTCCTGTTTTTTTTCGCCCTCTCGCATTAGATTTAGGGTCTCCAAAGGACGTCATCCATAAAATTTACTTGGTGTGGCCTAATAGTTGGAGGATTGTGATGGCCTTTTCCCACCAATTTTGAATCGCCGGATGGTATTTAACTACTAGTATCCATTTCTAAACAAACCCCCAGCGCGCAAAATACCAGCAATTAGCGAGATATGCCAAGAGAAAGGCTGTTTACAGTTGGTTTGGATGGTTTCATCAATGGGTACTACAACTTCTACTAGAGAGGTAACATTTGTATAATGTTTACCTTCGGACATGGTCTGCCCTGTTAATTTTTACTCAAACACATTCACATACATATACTACGAGTATATGGTGACAGGAGTAGAGCAGACCATGAAATTGCAACATTATGTAACCCAACACCAGTCACTATGGTGACAGACGTCAACAAATCATGTCATTGGCCAGGTCAGAGGTTAGTGCTTGGAACAGAAGAGGAGGAAGAAACTGAGTAAAAACAATATGTTTTCCTTCGGTAATCATAAATATGACTTTGTTTTCTTTATTGATGAATAGTATAGATATGTCGTAATCCCTCGTTTCAGACATAGGATATAACATACTAGTAATCAAATGATGGCAGCTTGTGTAATGGGTGTAAGAAATTCCATCAAAAGCTTCAAGTACATCGTCTGTCCCCACGCTACATAGCCTTTGTAAAGTAACGATTTCCCAGAATTATTGTTAGATAATAGAAGTTGCTATTCTTACAGGCGCTATACAATTTGAGCGATAAAGTTACACAATGACAACTAATAATGGCTTAACTCTACTTGCGGAGGGCGTTTTTACATAATCGAATGCTTATCAGCATTACTGAAATTTTGGGATGTGCCGTATTGTCGCCATAGATAGTTTTCATCATATTCAATGACTGTTCGTAATGCCTGATGGCTTTACTGTGATCACCGAGTTTGTGCCAACATGATCCAAGGTTAAAATGCGAAGATGCAATGTCTGGATGCACTGTGTTTTCCCCATAGACAGCTTTCCTCATCTTCAGTGACTGTTCATGATACCTGATGGCTTTCCTGTGGTCACCAAGCATGCCCCAACGGTTTCCAATGTTGTTTAATGATGAAGCAATGTCGGGATGTTCTGTTGTTTCACCATAAATAGCTTTTGACATGTTATATGAATGTACGTAATACCTGATAGCTTTCCTCTGATCACCAAGGTCACCCCAGCAGTTTCCAATGTTGTTTAATGACAAAGCAATGTCAGGATGTGGCGTTGTTTCACCATAGATAGCTTTCCTCATCTTCAGTGACTGTTCGTAATACCCCATAGCTTTCCTCTGATCATCAAGTTCACCCCAGCAGTTTCCAATGTTATTTAATGAGTTAGCAATGGCGGGATGTTCTGTTATTTCTCCATAGATAGCTTTCCTCATCTCCAGTGACTGTTCGTAATAACCAATAGCTTTCATCTGATCACCAAGGTCATGCCAACAGTTTCCGATGTTATTTAATGAGTTAGCAATGGCGGGATGTTCTGTTGTTTCACCATAGATAACTTTCGTCATCTTCAGTGACTGCTCGTAATACCTGAATGCTTTCCTCTGATCACCAAGGTTGCTCCAACATGCCCCAATATTATTGAATGATGACGCAATGGCAGGATGTTCTGTTGTTTCGCCATAGATAGTTTTAAACATCTTCAGTGACTGTTCGTAATGCCAGACAGCTTTCCTCTGATCGCCAAGCATAACCCAACATGCCCCAATGTTGTTGAATGATGCAGCAATGTCGAGATGTGCTGTTGTTTTACCATAGATAGCTTTCCTCATCCTCAGTGACTGTTCGTAAAATCTGCTAGCTTTCCTCTGATCACCAAGATAGTGCCAACATGCCCCAATATTATTTAATGATGAAGCAATGCCGGGATGTGCTGTTGATTCACCGTAGATAACTTTCATCATCTTCAGTGACTGTTCGTAATACCTGATAGCTTTTCTGCGATCGCCAAGCTCACTCCAAGATGATCCAACACCTCCAAGTATGAGGCAGTTAAGGCAGTTACTTTGCCATCTCCATGAATAGTATGTTCAACTCTGAGTGCCTGTTCATAGTAGCTAATCGCTTTCTCGTGGTCACCTCGCATTTGAAAGACATTTCCTAATTCAAAAAGTATTTTAATCTGTTTTTCCTTGTCACTACCTGCCTCTTCTAGAGCTGCCTTCAAGTGTCGTATGGATGCATCGAAATGGAGCAGTTGTTGTGTTATTCGACTCCTTGTTTGAGATGAGGTGTCAAAGATGGCTGTTTGGAATATCTTTGTAATTGGACTTGTAATTGCCTTCGTAACTGTATCCGTAATGCAACGTTTTAATGGAATAGCAGTATAATAGTACCTGAACAGCATCTTTGAGTCTGGTACGTAGAAAATGGACTTAGCGTATGTGTCATCTATGTCCTGTTTGTCCTGTTGGACTTTCACCTTCGTTAGAGGGGACAGTCTGTCCTTTTGTCCTCCGTTGGCGATGTACGTTCTTAACCGTAGCTCCGCTGAGATGCTGATCAGTACAGTCAAGTGGTGGGCATCGTCATGGCAGATCCGCTGTGCCTTCTGCAACTCTTCTATCATTCCCCACACACTGGGGATCGTGAGACCGCAGCAAATACTCAACACATCAATGGCAATGCTGGGAAAACGGTATATTTCTTTCTTTACATCCAGAAGTTGTCCCGTTGGTTCAACCTTTGCTACTTGTCCAATATCCTTCAGTATTAGGTTTGCTGACAACCGTGACAGCACAGAAGAACGATCAAAGTTTTTGTTGACCCTGTCCATATAATCATCCACCAAAGACACATCGCCTGTTAAGTAGGTCACCCGTCTAAGGATGTCTGACAGGTGATAGCCTTCTGACAGGGCAATTCGCAAATGTTGATACTCTGCTAACTTAGCAGGAGTCTGGATAAGACTGACGGAGGGTTTAGTTTTGGTTTTGTCTCTTCCAAACGGAGTCTTAGAAGCCCATGGCATGAAGCCGTCAAAGGCAAAACCGCGAGGTGTGACGGAGTCAAAGAACCAACTCTTCTCTGGGTCTTCCGAGAGAAAGTCGTTGAGTGACGGGACGGCCATGGCTGGGAGGATGGTTTCCCCAAGGTTGATGACTTTAAAGTGGAGGTAGTGTGTGAGGTTTAGAAAGTACCTCTGTGTATCCTCATCATCCTTACCCTCCTCAATCAGAATGGCGAACTCCAGGTCGGAGTACGGCGTCACCAGTTCTGTGGCTTGTGACCCTAACCCGATGAAAGCAAACTTACACGGAGGAGTTCCGAGTTGTTCAATACATTCATCTGTCAGTCCTTGGATGAACTGTTGTCTTTCAACGGTGATGTACTTGAACAAATTCTTTATCGCTTCAGCTCGTTTGATCTCCACCTCTCTCACGACGGGATCGTCTTCATCATACTGATAAGGGTTGTGTTCCTGATGAATTCTTTCGAGCTGAGATTTTGCACGGGCGCGCATGTTGGTCAGGTTACTTATGTGACCTAACGTGCTACTGTATGGGCATGGCTCACAGTTTAGGTTACAAACGCACACAAGAAACTGCCTTTCCGTTTCTTGCAGTTGGGCGATCATGTTTTGTTTGTCTCCATCTTTCCTTGCCATGGAGGCGTTATACATAGCTGCTGCTTGTGTGAATTTCCTACCTTCCCCAGTCAGCTTGCCAAGGGCGACGTAGACGTCACCTAATGTCCGGAGACACTCGGCTTCTTTAGCCATGTTGGGTTTACTTGAACTTGGGTCTGTAGGTAGGAAAAAAAATAGAAATGAGAAAATGGAAAATCTGATTTTTAAATCTTAGAAATTAGAAATGAGAAAATGGAGAATCTGATTTTTACATCAGATTCTCCATTTTCTCATTAAAACTCTTCCTGGGAGGAGTTTGAGTTTAGTGAATGTATAAGAAATAGCCAAAGGAATTAGATTTTGGAATGTATTATTACTAATACCATTGTATGACGGAACTTACTCCGGTATTACACTGTGGTTTATGTTTCATACCATGATTACAGTACACATTCCTGATGACTGCATACAACTCTCTACCACCCAGGGCATGTATGTCGGGAGACAACCCTGTCAATCAACAGAAACCCAATCTCCGCCCACTCACTTCCAAGCCTCGCTGGTCAGGACAAGATACATACGAACTTCCCTGAAACCAGCACCGCCCTAAGTAACACGTCCGTCCCGAAAGTAATTAGATGGTGTAAACGTAGACAAGAACTTTATTGACACAACAAAAGTGCAGCGACTTTCGTAAGGTCTAAGACTGCATGTAGACATACAGACAAAATACATGGGTACAACGAAATTAACCTACGTACAAAACAATAGATGAGTCAACTATTACTACTTCTTCTAAGGTCTAAACCTTCTTTGATATATTTACACAGTAAGGGTTATTACCTTCTAGGATGAAATTAAATTTATCTATAGCTTGAAATGTAACAAATTCTGTTGAGCAGGCGGAGAGAAGGTTGAACAGCTTTGTGCGTTTATCGTTGTATAGTGCACAATTCAAAACGTAGAAAGTGCGAAACAGACCGTGAACAAGCTTCAGGGCGGCTGCTAGGTTCTGCTCTGCTGCCTTCGGGTCTCCATTCTGTAAGTCACGGCCTGCCGTCTGGATGTACCTGCGGTAGGAGCTGAACAAGGAAGCAAGGTTTGAATGCGCGATAAATGCGCGATAAATGCGCAACAAAGTTTTGTACCAAAGGAATTGCATGCTAACCAACAATTTATATTCCTAGCTTTAGTTACATCTGCAATCTATAGTCGCAAACAACTAACTGTTATACATAGTAACATATAATAACGCATGTAATAAATTTCTGGCTGTATATCCTTATTACATTGGTTAATTGATCATTAGTCAATGTTTATTACATATGATTTTATTTTACAAAAAAATGTTTTTTTAACAGGTAGGTTTGATATTATGCCACATAAATTATAATATTTTATATAATATGTAATATACAAAATACGTAATCGTCCATATTCATATCTATAACAGAGTAATCTGGATATAAGAAAATTAACAGTTATAACAGTTATAAAAATAATACTAACATATCATCGTTAGCTTGTCTGGTGGTTTCAGCATTCTGTAATTCTGTACGAAGTTCCGGAGAACTGGAGAATGTAACATAACGTTAATATATACTCGTACTGCAACGAATGGACATATTGCATGTTAACGTTTGCGCTCAATATTCCTTAGTCTCTTCCGTCCATCCATCCATCCATCCATCCATCCATCCATCCATCCATCCATCCTTCTTAGTAACCTTTTGGCAGACTTCCAGGGTGTATGAAACCATTAAAAAAATCAAAATTCGATTCGAATGCGCCTCTTTTTTTTTCAAATAAATCATCTCATGCGCATATGCACGTACTAGTATGTAGGGAAGGTAATGCCTATTTGTTATGTTACTGAAAGGGGGTGCTACAAACCACAAGGACCAAAGCAACTGTACATGTGTATACATCTATCTATATCTATCTATGTATACATCTATATATCTATAGATCTATCCATCTATATATATATACATACATAAATACATATATTTATTTACGTATGTGTGTATGTATAGATAGATATATAGATTTAATTGCACAACAGTTGTACAGGGTGCAAAGTATGGGGTACAAAGTACAAAGTACAGGGTACAAAGTATGGCATCTTCTAAGTACATTGACTACATTTTCTTAATCTAACTAAAAGTGGGTGGCTAGCTAGTATGGCATACAATCATTGGACGAGTTTCTAATATCTATACAGTCTTTAATATTATATATCCCTATGCATAGCATGCACGGGTTGTCACAAATCGTCATGTATTCAAATTTGCTTTTTGCTTTTTCATTCTGGTAAATACTAGAATAGAATTTAATAGTGACTTGTGCGTATCAATATATTTAGGACATACGAGTACAATAAAAAAGTGATATTTGTCCTCAATTAGCTTTGGACAAAATGGACAAACCCTCTGGTCAATAGGAATTTTTGGGAATCTCCCGGTTTCTATACTAAGTTTGTGACAGCCGATTCTGAGTTTTGTGATTGCGCTACGTACATCAAGTCTTTTTATTTTTGAAAGGTAGTTTTCTTGTTTATATTGCTTGTTCAGTGTAGAAAGGAAAGAAAGTTTGGAATTGCTTTGAATAGCGCAATGCCAATTTTGTATATAAATATCTTGTAGTCGTTGTCGTAGTTGAGCAGTGATTATACAGAAGAACTTTATTGCACGACAATTGCACATGGTACAATGTATGGCAAACTACATAAAGAGAGTAGCAAACAATAAAATGTGTTGAACAAGAACTAATGTTGAATAAACCTAACAAATCTATATCATGATTATTCAAATAATAAGGGATAGCACAAGTCTTTGATAAAGTGTTACAATCGAGTGGGCTAATCACAAGTTTCGGAATTTTTTCTAATAACAAAGCATTCCTTTATATATCTACCTATTTTTGCGTTGTGGGAACCATTACATGTAAAGATATATTCAAATCCGTCTCCAACATGGAGACTCTTGAAATCTATGGTACTTGATTCGAGAAATGTAAATAGCGTGTTACCGTAATACGTATAACATCATATTTGGTACATTCCATAACAAAATGAAATTCATTTTCTATATGCTTTGGATAAAATGGACAGAACATTTGGCCAGGGGCTATATTGTAATGTCTACCTGTTTCATATGTAGTACTTACATGTGTAGACGGCACATTGCGTCATTGATGACGTCGCTTAAGGGCGCAGCTGAGGAGGGAGAGAAGTGGTCCTTCGGCGCTCTCACGTCTTTCTGTCGTCGCGAACGTGTCGAACTCTGTGTGAACTGATAGGAACTTATGAATGATTAACATGTGAGCAATGGCACCGTTAGTCACAACAGTTTAATCAACTTTGTTGAATGGTTAATGACCCGACGTGGCCCTTGGACGACCAACCCAAAATAGCAAAATATATGGAATTCATACAATTTTCTCGTTAATTGTGCAAATTAGACATTGATTTGCATAATTTTGATTTAACTAGTTCAAAATGCTGTCCCGACGGCTGACTAGTCTATAGGAGTGAGTGAGTGAGTGAGTGAGTGAGTGAGTGAGTGAGTGAGTGAGTGAGTGAGAGTGAGTGAGTGAGTGAGTGAGTGAGTGAGTGAGTGAGTGAGAGAGTGAGTGAGTGAGTGAGTGAGTGAGAGAGTGAGAGAGTGAGAGAGTGAGAGAGTGAGTGAGTGAGTGAGTGAGTGAGTGAGTGAGTGAGTGAGTTTATTACGGGTGGTCCCTGCAGCCGTTGAGGCTGATTTCCAAGGGAGCCCATACAAGAAAATAATGTAACATAAAAGAATAATTAAACGTAACAATGGAATTCGAAAATCATAATCAAGATACAATAATAATAATCAGTCAGAGTCAGTGTGTGAGATTGCCAGAGGTCAAACTCCAAATGATACAAACTTAGGAATAGTAGATCATAAATAAAGTACTTGAACAACTTTAGTAATAAACCATATATACAAATCAAACAAATAACAAAAAATACTTAAATAAATCATAATCGGTCAATGAATGAGTGAGTGAGTGAGTGAGTGAGTGAGAGAGTGAGTGAGTGAGTGAGTAAGTGAGTGTGTGAGTGTGTGAGTGAGTGAGTGAGTGAGAGAGTGAGAGAGTGAGAGAGTGAGTGAGTGAGTGAGTGAGTGAGTGAGTGAGTGAGTGGGTGAGTGAGTGGCTTTCAAAAACTTCTTTGCAAAGGTAAACAAATACGCCGAAAACAAAACCTCCATAACACAACATTCAGGTTCATTAATATCTGCTGAAGCTGCTCTTAGTCTAGGGGAAATCAGTACTCCTGTTCCATGTTTCCCCGATTTGTTGCTAGGTTCACTCACCTTGATGTTTGTTGTTACGATGTCTTGCCTGATTTTTGCTGTGTGCAGTAAGCGGTGGACAATGACAACTGTTCCATGAACGTTGTTACACCGCGCCAGTGCCCTGTTGTACAGTGCGGAAGCTTCGGTCAAGTTTCTAGTGTCTCCAGTTTCTGTTCCTCTTCTTAGACACACGTCACCCAGACTCTTGATCGCTTCTGTTTCTAACAAGTTGTTGTCATTTACTATTCCCTCTACCATCAACTGTGCGTATCCGAATAGCACAGAGTCTATATCTGTGTCACCACCGGCAGTCCATTTCATGTCGAGGTCTTGAAACTTTCTCGCCACATTTGCAGGTGTCGTCATTTCCCTGTCTTGTGTTGACTGTTCCTTACCCTGTGGGCCTTTTCCACCCCCTAACCAGTCCGGACTGGACCGGTTTTTCCACCCACCCCTACGTGAAACCCCTTGCAAGAGCCTCTCAGTGTAGTGGTAGCGGTGTTCTATACCTTCTCCCTGTTCCCGATTGGAACACCGCACAAAAGCAGCCAGATAAAGCGCCAAGGCTGTGTTGAACTTCCCCACGTCCTTCCCAAGTCTTCCCTTCTCCAAGTTCACGTCGCCCAGAGTTTTGAGCAGCTCCACTTCCGCCAGCCTGTCCGTGTCGGCCATGGCGTCCACCAGGGCACGGAGGTAGCCTGTCTCCGCACGGGCTAGTCCGTACCTCCTGCCCTTCTCGTCCGCCTCACGGAGTTTCTCACACACCCGTAACATGGTGGACTTCTGCACAGAGAACGTTTCTAACTTCACCGATCTTCGTGTTACCTTTTTTTAGACTACGTGCGTGACACAAGCGAAACACTGAGTAGGGTAATGTTTCGCTTCCGGTATTTGTGTCGCTTCCTGGCTTGGCACTTCTCCGTCACCGTGACTCTAAAGTGACAAACTACGACTACAAGCAACAACTGAGACAGAAAATAACCGGTGGCGAACTAAGTACATGCCCGTAGCGGGGGGGGGGGGAGAAGGTTTCGGAAGAACCCCCCCCACAAGGCTAAAAGGTCCACTTTTTGGTCCACTTTTTATTTAAAGGTCCATTTTTTGGTCCACTTTTTATGTAAAGGTCCAAGATTTTTTTTGAAAAGATGGACTGGAATTGTAGAAAAACTGCTCTCTTTGTCATTGAATAAAAATTTATCTCTGATTTTTTCTTGAAAATCCTCTCAAAAATTCACGAAATGCCATTTTAGAAGGTTCATTTTTCTAAATTTTCCGGGGAGCATGCCCCCGGACCCCTAGGAACCTCGCGCCTTTGACGTTCTCCTCGCGCCTACGGCGCTCGAGGTCCCCTCAAGCAGTGGGAAGAACCCCCCCCCATTCAAAATCTTGGCTACGGGCATGTTGTGTAACTCACATTAGACTCCCCATTAACTGGAGTATGTTGTTTGGAGATTGCGGGAGAATTTCACCCTAACCACTGCCAACAAAACATTAGCGGAAGGGAAAGAATGACCTTTGATTCTGCCCCCCTCCCCCTGCCCAAATATTTTTTTCTTCACAGTGTGGGTTCTGTAGTCCCCTGCGCTTTCATACAGGGCCCTGGAGTGGGTAGATTCGTCCAGAATCCCATGTTTATCATGGCGCATGGATAACTATTCCCACTTACGTCACAATGGACTGACATCTCGCGAGACTCTTGTTGAGCGATATGTCAGGCCATGTGGTTCCAGGCATTATTCTGGTTCCATGGAGAATTCCCGCGTTGGTTACCTGGTTTAGAAGGTACTGTTGTGGTAGTGTCTTGAGGAAACAGGTTTGTCTGGTGGTATTTTGGAGCGCAGGCTAGATAAAGATTTGTCGACGTGGCAGCGCACGTGCATGCCTCGGTAGATAAGTACGTGTGCTATCCCTCTTCCTCTGGGTAACGTGTTTTCTATTTCACAGTTGCAGACTCCCGGAGGAACACTGTAGCGACCCCGAACGCGAGTACAACGCTGACCACGAGTGGAAACCAGCCCGTGGGTGCAAGCCTGCCAGCGGCCGTGTACAGCCCGGTCAGCGAGAGGGATTTCCCGCCCCGGGCGGAGCGTCTTGCCGCCCCGGGCGGAACGGGAGTGTGACCCGGCGATAGCGCTGCAGCAAAACCACTGCCACCAGATAGAGCGACCGGGCATCCCGAAGATAGTGACAGTTCTCCCGGGATCCAGTTCCGCGTTGTCGGCACTGGCCATTCCCGCAGGGAGCCACGGCACGGAACGCAGAGACGCCGTGGGTAGGAGTTTTGCCTCCGTCATTTTACGACCTTATTTTTGCGTGTGTCCGCCCCGGAATCACGTGTGTGTACCTCGGAGCGTTTCACACTTCTTTCAGTCTCGTATTTTTCCCCTTTTCGTGTGTTTTAAGCGTTTATGGCTCGTTTCCTCGGAAGGAAAGTTTGTGAAATTTTGGTCATTTTTTCCGTTTGGCCCTGCGTTTGCTAGATTGTCGGATAATCAACGGATTGGCATCGGGCTGATGGTGGAACAACCTGAGGCCTATTTCGGGGAAAGACTGTGGGACAATTCTTGTTAGTTCCTTTTGGTGTTGGCGGAGCTTCTCTGAGATTGTCGGACAGTCTCGAAGCGAGAAACTGTGGGACAGTTTCGTGTATCAGAGGTGGTAGGGACTGTCGGACAGTCTCAGAATTTGGGGCGTAAAACTGTTGGACAGTTTTATGGCATATCGCTTCCCCTGGTTAGAGGTTGTTGGACAATCTCGAAGCGAGAAACTGTTGGACAGTTTCGTGTACCAGAAGTGTTAGAGACTGTCGGACAGTCTCAGAATTTGGTGCGTAAAACTCTTAGACGGTTTTACGCATGGCATATCGCTTTGCCGGTGAATAGAGGTTGTTGGACAATCTCGAAGCGAGAAACTGAAGGTCAGGGTCAGGTATCAGTAGTGGTAGAGGCTGTCGGACAGTCTCAAAATTTATTGCGGAAAACTGTTGGACAGTTTTATGGTTTATCGCTTTCCCCGGGATAGAGGTTGTTGGACAATCTCGAGTTAGATGGGAAACTGAATAGTTTCGCTCTCCCTATGCGTGGAGGTTTCCGACAACCTCAAGGGGGGTTGGAGATGGAGGGCAGATTTCGGTAGTCTTCTGATCGTCTTTTGGTCACTTGGCGACTACCGACAGCAGGAGGAGAGGCAGTAGAGCAGCTTTCGGTCGTCTTTCATAGCGACAACCGATAGCAGAGGGTGGCAATAGGACAGTTTTCGGTCGTCTTCCATAAAGGCTATCTATAGCAGAAGGGGAGACGGTGGGACAGTTTTCGGTCGTCTTCCTTTAGCCATTGACCTTTTGGTTTGGCCTTGCAATTGGTCATTTTTCTTTGTTTTGTACGTCGTATGGAGATGCGTACCGTAAACGCATAGGAAGGCGCTTTGAGTAGTACAATTTTTCGGTTGTATGTATTTGAGATAGCTACCTAGTTTTGGCATTTTATGGCTGGCTAAGCCCTAACTCGTGGACCGTGCGTGCTTTCCCCAATAGGTTTGCCGCCACCTCACAGCTTCGGCTAGTGGCCCGGGAAGCGAGCGAGGGCCCCTCCAGACCTAAATTTACTTAAGGTAGCCGACATATTTGAGTAAACGGAAGGGTTACCGTTTTAGATTAGAGAAACCGAAGGAGATGTACCCGTACCCGAGAGTTTGGGGTACACTTGAGGATGAGATAAGATTGAAGTGCTTTAGAAACATGTGTGTATGCATGATACCAACATCACGTATACTGTCATCATCCCAGTTTTGGAAAGCTGGCGAAAGTAGCCCTTGATCCACTGAGGCTCTGGGAAGAGAAGGTGTCGGCTATCCGGTGTGGGTAAATGGGTCTGGAACGGGCCCCGCTCCTTTACGGACCACGGCCAGTAGTACAAGAACTGCTGGCAAGCTTGTTGCGAGTGAGGGCTCAGTGACTACAGTTCGGGGACTCAGTATTTGTGCCCCAGGCGGGCGAGTTCCACAGACTTTAAATCGAGATTGAATAAAAGGAAAGAAGACTACCCTCTCATGGTGTGTCTTGGCCTACTGAGTGTCTTTGCCTTACGTGACACTTAGAGTAAGGAATGGGAGAGGAGAGGGTAAGGAATGGGAAGGATAAGGATTGGGGGATAATGAGGAAGAGGTTTGAGAGTGAGCCTATGACAGGGGTTAAGGCAACCGATCACTGTAGCGTAGCCGAGGTCTTTTCCACCCAATCCTTAATCGATCACCTTGGCGAGAGTGGAAATATATAATTATTCCCACTTACGTCACAATGGACTGACATCTCGCGAGACTCTTGTTGAGCGAGATGTCAGGCCATGTGACCAACCCCTCATACTTCATCAGTTTTGTGAAGCGGGGCGACAGAGAGAAGGTAGCGGGGTTAGCGTACAACCCGTCTCGTGAGTAGCCTGGTAATTAGAGCGACGTGAACTCGGCGCGGCGAGTACCGGGCGTCAGGGTAGATGATGTAGACACACTGATGGTTTCTTTAAGGGTAGGCGGGGAAATTCAAGTTCTTGACCGGCAGCGTCATGGGAGGCCCACGCCTGGCAAATGGCCATCGATGCCGCAAGCACTGGCGGGTGAAACGTTACGTCGGGAGGTACGAGGATGAGCCGCCAGGTCGAGGTACTAAGTAGTAGAGGGGTGGACGAGGAAGAGGAAAAAGAGCAACAGCTAGAGATAGGTCCTCGGGTATAGGTCGCGTATGTTTAGTCAAGGCCAGTATTAAAGGCTGGGGTAGGGAATAACCCCAAGTCGACCATAATGCTCAGTACCCAGACTGTCTTTAGGGTAGAGGACGCAAGAAAGGAGAAGGCTGGACGGAAATGAGCGGGACGAAAATAAATCCCCCCCCCCGCCCACCCCACACTCACGGTGAGAGTCGCATGTATGACAGGGAGCAGACACTCGACACTAGCTCGCCGAGGTCTTTTCCACCCAATCCTTAATCGATCACCTTGGCGAGAGTGGAAATATATAATTATTAGTATTTACTCGGACGGGTCCACTACGGAGCGAGGGGTGCAAGTCTTCAGACGATCAATTCTCTTTTTCTGTCAGAACAGTAACTCGTGCAAGAAAGTAAGGATCTAGTAGTTTGCACCACCATATCTCCAGAAGTATCTTTCACAAGACCCCTGATATGTATAGAAATAGACAAGCAATCAATGTTTCCGCTGCTTTACTTATACGACGTACATTAACAGCAGACGTATGACGTCATCTTTGACAAAGTGACAAAGCTTTACAAGCACGGTCGTGATAATAAAATGATTTAGAATAAAATTATTACGACCACGTACGTAGTGAAGCATACCAAAGATATCAACCAGTGGACTCATATCTATTGTCAAAATTTTAAAAAAATAGGCTTGTTTCTTTGTCGTACTTGACCTTTCAACCCGGAAGTAAGGTCTTGTTTTCTGTACCATCGTCCTGTTAGTATTACCTGTCTGAAAATGTCTGGCACTTGGATCTTAGCGTGCTTTGTATGCCTTTCTCTAGGTAAGCATCTATTTATTGTCTTCACAATTACAAAAAAAGCATTACCGGTACACATGTAAGTATTACTAAAACAACAGAAAACCTCAGAGAGTACAGTACTTTAGTACAGTCAGTACATCTGTGAAGTCATCCCTATCATCGTTTTGAAAGTGTGTCAGTGTTTTGTCCATTAACTGTGCCCCCCTTTATACAAATGCAGCTGTTTATGGACAAGACAGCAACGACACCAGAGCATTTCGTGTAGGTGATAACGCTACCCTCCCCTGTACTGGAGTTCCGTATGATGATGTGACTAAACACTGGGAGAAAAATCCAGTAATTCCGATCAAGTACCTGGTGGCCATTCAAACCCCACTCGGACAGTCGTCACCTGGAGCGCCGTTTTACGATGAGACCAACATCGCAGCAGCCAATCTGACTGGCAGGTTCACGGTTACTCCTGACTTGACGACTGCAACCATCACAGGAGTGAGGGAGACGGACGATGGGGACTACAGATGTTCGTCTGGACCTTCACAGATCATACATAAGTTTGTTGCATACAGTAAGTATTAACGGTACTAGTACAAGATATTGTTAATATGTCTCCAAGTGTAAAAATGCCCCATTATCCATACACAGAAAATGATTCGAATCCCTTCTCCGATGACATAACTTATTGTATAACTTGACAAGATACTGTTTTTCCAGAGATGAATTCAGTCGGTATACAGCCTTCTGGACCTGTCACAGGATACGTTGGAGGTACATTTGACGTCACCTGTACAGCAGACAGCAAACCTGCGGCCAGCTTCGACTGGACAAAACAAGGGGACAGCAGTTTCACAGCAACAGGAGCCACCCTGCGGATTAGCAGCATCACTATGGACCATACTGGCACATATGTGTGTACAGCCTACCATGCGTATGCCAGTGATACTGCTAGTGTGCAGTTGACTGTCAGTGAAGGTAAGTGATATTGGTAGAATCCTTTACAATTTTCTAGACACCTAACTGATGAGTTAACTTCAGGTTATTAATTTAACTATAATGTATTGTAGTTCATGGCATGTTTCATTATGAAGAACCACCCTAACAAAGATTAATGTTTATGGTAATACATCCATCTGTATCAGACATGATAACAGTTTATAGTTCTGATTAGCCAAATAATCGTTTGAAATTATTTATACTAAATTATATGACCGAGCACCTCTTCCACTAACCAAGAAGGCAAAACAGAACGGTAAGCATTTTCCCTTCCATTTCAATCGGTTACTGACTAAAGCTCTTTTTTTCTTTGAATCGCACGTCTTTTCCTTAATGTTTGCTTGTTAATCTGTGCTTTTATTTATTTATCAATCTGTGCTGTGAAGTGTGTAACATTTTTATTTATTTATTTATTTATTTATTTCAGCTTCATTACATTACAAAGAATGTAATTGGACAGGGGGAACAGGTCTGGCCTTTGTCTTAGCCCTCTGTCCAAATTAAAAACATAATAAAATAAAAAGTACAATTAAAGCAACATCAAAGACTTATGCAAACATACACAGATAAAACAAGAAACAATCATAACCAATGACAAACAAAAACATGTCCACGGACACATAAACTATAAGTGAACAAATGATAATAGTGACAATAACAACGCTAATAATAGTGATAAGAAAGCAAATAGTGGAGTCTAAGAACATAGGGTATGCCAGGTGTAAATGTTATCAGGATCAAATATGTCGGACAGAAGGTGATGATAGTGACTGAGGACGAACTTTCTAAAGGTAAGAAATGAGACGTTTGGACTTGTTTTTTAAAACAAGTCCAAACGTCTCATTACCAGTTAACACCAGGTCTCTTAAAAGAGACCTGGTGTTAACTGGTAATGCGTTCCATATGTATACTATTCTTTGAAAGTAGGAATTTTGGAATGTTGTGGTAAGACACTTTTCCGGCTGCAGTTTGAACTAGGAAGTTGATCTTAAAGAACGGTGAGGGGATTTGATATATTTGTTAATATCTATATTGTAATGTCCAATGAAGCATTTGAATAAGAAACATAGATCTAGAATTTCACGTCTGTAGGAAAGTGGTAAGAGTGAACAGTGTAATGATCTGGCCCTGTAGTCGCTAGTGTAGTCATTAAGTATATACTTAGAAGCACGTCTTTGGACTTTCTCAACTGCGAATATAAGGTTGTTTGTGTGGGGTGACCAAACTACGGAACAGTACTCCAGTTTACTTCTGACAAGGGTGAGGTACAAAGTTTTTTTAACGTTGGAAGGAGCGTGAAAACCTACGGACCTCTTAATGAATCCCAAAGCCGAATTTGTCTCCGACAAGATAAATAACTATGGAACCAGGACAGTAAACTAGAATGGATGCCATACATTTTGAGCTTATGGGTTAGTAGCTGGTGAGAGACACAATCAAATGCCTTGGAAAAATCGAGATATACAATGTCTACTTGGCCACCATGGTCTAGGATCGAGCCAATTTCCTGGTAGATTTCAAGTAGTTGTGTGGATAAAGATTTACCCTTGATAAAACCGTGTTGTAGGGGATAGATTTGGTGCTTTAAATAAGGAAAGATACGATCAAACAGACATCTCTCCATCACTTTCCCAACAATACTCAAAAGGGAAATTGGGCGGTAATTTTCAACTAAATCTTTGCGGCCTTTTTTGTACACGGGACAGATATGTGCTTCCTTCCATTGTGCTGGGACCCAGCCTATGGTTAAACTTTTGTTAAACAGATCAGTCAGCTGTGGTGCAATAACATGTGCGCACTCACGAGGTACGACTGGTGAGATTCCATCGGGACCGATTGCTTTAGTGCAATCAAGGTTGATCAATACATTTCGGACTTCGTCAACTGAAAAAATAATATTTCCTAGACATGGGTGTTCAAAAACAGAGATTTCAGGCAGAAGTTGTCTAACATTGGGCACTGTGAACACTGAATGAAAGTACTTGTTAAACATGTCTGCTTTTTCTTTGGCCGTAGTCGCCTCGGAAATAACAGATTTCATGACAGGTGGAAGGCATCGGGATTTTGTTTTGGAACTGAAAAAAGACCAGAACTTTTTCGGGTTCCTATGAACTAAAAGTCCGAGGTTATCCAGAAACGACGTATACTTGTTTTTAAGAAGTCTTTGAAGGTTGTTTCTGAGTTTTCTAAACTTGTTCCAATGAAAAGGACTGTTAGTTCTTTTGGCTAGTCGCCATGCCGTGTTCTTTTTGTTTTGAGGTCACCTGTTCGATTTCTGAACATTTGTCGGGTATATTAGTCAGCACTACATCTAGCAGATGCCCGTGAACATTGGACATGACGTTGTTTATCTGGGAAAGAGAGAAGTCGTTTACGATATCGCACAGGTGACACTCCTGTTCCGAACTGCTAATTACATTAGACCAGTCAATATTGGGACAGTTCAAATCACCTGTCAACACCTGGTCGTATTCCATGTACACACGGCTAAGCATGAATTACAAATTAGTATTAAAGACAGCCATATCACCACTGGGTGGTCTATAATACACAATGAGTACAATTTTTGATTGGTAGGTTGAATGTCACATATAATGACCTCGTCCATGGGTTCAATGTCTTCTCTTCGCTTCGAAGGAATGCTAGACTTCACAGCCAGGAGTACACCGCCACCTACCCGTCCAGGCATGGTAACACTTCTATCCTTCCGATAAACTGTGTAGTCCTGTGGAAGAAGTTCTTGATCAGCTACGCAAGAGGTCAGCCAGGTTTCAGTCATGGATATTATCTCAGGCTGGACGTTCGTAACAAGATTTTGAAACTGTACAAGTTTGTTGCATTTCCTGCTTACCGACTTGACACTGCGGGCGTTCAAATATAGGACATTAATACAGTTACATCTTGAACTTGGTTGCTACTTCACAGGGAATTCAGCATCAGTAGTGGCAGGTGTCACATGAGAGTTTCCAGACGCACTGTTGTCCCTCTGGACGTCCCGGCACGTAGAGGGTGGAGCGCGCTGGCACCTGCTGAGGTCAAGGGGATCGTCCAGATGAACAGGAGTCAGAGTAGGCTCGTCTGCCGTGGTACTGACCGTTTCAGAATCTAGATCACAAGGTGGTTTCAGGATTCCTTGACTGGATGGTCTGGATGGTGTAAACCGCCTGCAGAGACCCAGGGCTGTTCTGCATTCTGCTTCTTAGAGACCGAGTGTATGCGCTGCTCAGGTGACGGGAGGGAGCGTTTCCTATTTCTCAGATTGTAGCGACCGCTCGACGCCATGTCGCTAGTGTTGAGATGTGGAGAGGGAGATGTCTCTGATTTCTCAGTTAGTTTCTCTCTGGTGTTCGTAGGCCCCCGCTTGTTCTTGGGATTACGACGCTGATCTGGCTGGTGGCGGTGCGCACGAATATCCCGTATAACTCCAGAGATGCTAGTGGGGACCGCTTCTTCCTCCTGGTCTGTCAGGGTCTGAAAACGGTTGGACGTTGGCAAGGCTGGTCTCACATATGTGTTAAAGGCATGGTTGATCAGGTCCACCGAGTCCTGTGTCCCGGGGCTGAGAACAATAGCATCGTATGGATCAGCAGCTTTATTGTGACGGCGAGTTGTGTGTTCTGTTTCAGTGCTTGAAGGGCAGTTGGCCCTAGTGTGCCCACACATACCACACGAAAAGCACGTGATGTTTGGACAGTCGAATGCCTTGTGGTCTGAAGCTTTGCAACGTCGGCAATTTACGATCTGCCCTTTACCACAAAATATTTCAAGTTCAATGTCAATATGATCAGAGGGATTCAAAGGATGTGGCACATTCATAGTAGTGAACCTGGGAGGGGGACATTCGGTGAATCTCTCGACATAACAGAACCTATGGCCTGTTCTTAGGTGTTTGAACACGTCCGTGGCATTCTTGACTCGATGTCTCTCGATCGGTGTGGCGCGTACAGCGAACTTGTCGACCCACTCGGCTACAACGGAGTCAGGCACTGAATGGTACACCCCGTGTATAGAATAGATATCCTGGTCAAGCGAGGTTTGGTCATAGGAGTGGTCACAAAGTCTTGAAGTGTTAGGACCTTACCGTGTAACTGAATTTGAGCATGTTTAAGAGCGGCAACTTTTACTTCGGGGCTTGACAGATTGATAATGATCATGGGAGGGATCACTTGTACGCCCAAGATGTCTGAGGGTCTCACACCACCGACGCCATGATGCTTCATACTTTCAACCAAGGACATGGTGACATCTTCTTCCCTAGGCCTGAATCCTGATTTCATGTAGCATTTAACCCACAGGCTTGTGTTCTCTAGTTTGTCAGCGAGCGGGTCATGTACTGCTATATCCACCCGAGCTTCAGCCATTGTGGATCGTTACAATGAAAACACCAAGTTACAAGTGGGTAAACAAAGGCTCAGTTCGGCGCTATCGGTTTAGACGACGCTGGTTTGAAACATTTTCGATCAAAGTTTGTCATGTAAACATGTAGAGGTAAATACAAACTTGCCCAGATCAGGATAGTGCCCTCTGTTATCCAAGGGAGGAGCTCTTGGGAACACGAATCCACAGGTGGTTGGGGAATTCCTTTGACGCGCAGTATCTTCCCTCCCCACGACCTGCGTCACAACAGGATCAAGCTGGAAATCTTCGTCAAATGTGGCCAAAATAGTTCAAATGTTGGATCAGAAGAAGGAACAGTCCTTGCTACGCTTGTCTCCTTGGAGATTTACCCCCGATGACAACTTATTTCACTAAAAGCACACTTAGTTTGACTGAGAGTCCAGGAGCCAGAAAAAAGCGAAATTTACTAACATTGTCACATATCGGATGTGTTGTCTTCTTGTAGGTCCAAATGTTACTCCAGTCACGCCAACAGGTAAAATTCAATGACTGACTTATTTAATAGTTGGAACTTAAAATTCCATACAAACCATTTGAGCATCCTCTAAATAAAACTTTTGTTACTTTATGAGAATCGAATGACCGTGGCACAATTTGACATACATTTTGTACAATCCGCAAGTTGTCTATTCATATTATTCAAGCGTTTATTTTGTGGTCAATATGGGTTTAATTTCTGTGAAAGCCAGATGTTTATAATTGGAGGCGCCTAATTCAAGTAGAATTTGTTTTGCAGACATGAATTATTGTTCCGGCGCTGTAGCCGGAGCTGCAGTTGGCTGTTTTACCGGCGGGTTACTGGTAGGGGGCGCTGCAGTGTTCATGTTCCTACGTTTCAGGACGGCAAAGAATGGCGGGGAAAAAGGTATGGAAAATATGGATATTCTTTTTTATGGCAACTCTTAAAACTTTTATCGCTTCCAGTAAAACAAAGACGCATGGTATTTTGAAATCTAGAAAATCATTTTACGAAATATCATATTATAATCTTATATATTTTTTATTAAGCATTGTTCAGGTGCATAATGCTAATAACAACTTTTTTCCAACAAAAAAAGTAAAAAGATATTTTTGACCCCTTCTACTGCTTTCTTCAGGTTACCATGATTACTCACTGTTATAGAAGGCATGTAATATTGCAAACTTGTGACATTAAGGATTGTTCTTTACATTCGCTAAGAAGGCGTTCGTGTGTGTGTGTGTTTATGTGTGTGTGCGTGTGTAAACACAATACCTTGAGAAGTCTTACATGGATTGACTTGATATTTTGTAGGTGGGTAGGTTTTGATGAGACCTGGAAATGATTAGATTTCCACATCTTTCCAGACGTTGGTAACTTCGCTGACAGACAGTATGAGAACGTGCCACATCCAAATCAAAGGGTGACGTCACAACGACCCGGAAGCGGAAGTGACGAGTACGAAGTTCCCATGGAAACCGTCCAACCACCCCAACCCAGTGACGACTACCAGGAGCTGAGGCCTGCTGTCTACCAGAGTCTGCAGAGACAATGAATTGTGGACCCAATGTACTAATTACTCCATTTCATATATTATGAAGTTTATTGAAAATTCCTGCCCGAAGGCTAATTGCAAAAAACACGGACAAAGAAACACTGAAACAAAATAACTACAAAGTCTACATAATAAATGGTAATTGTTTGAAACTAAAGTTATGTCTAAAACTATGCCTGAAGAGCTTTACTTCTCTTTTGTAAACCACGGAAAACATGATACCTGCAGTGTTGGATTGATTGATTGATTGATTAATTGATTAATTAATTGATTAATCAACCAATTGATTTGTTGATCAAGTGGTTTCATGATTGATTGATATAATTTGTTTGCTAATAACTTTTATCATGGGAGAATGCCTTGTTCATAAATTTTTATCAATTGGTTACATTTTTATCTACATATTGATGGATTTTAGTGTACGTTTTTCAATTGTACCAGGATATGCGTATACAAATGTATAAGTTGGTAATGGCGTCCTCTTCAGTGGCTTAGAGGCAGCAGTTCTAGCTGTGTAGTTGGTTTGCACATGTACATAAAGGTTACTTATAGTTAACCTAATATTTTTGCACACATGGATTTGTTGATTTGAAGTGGTAAATCTGACAAGTGAATGTTCCAGCATCTCCACTGTCTTTGTCATGCGTAACAATCATGCTGTAGAGTGGAATTTTGAATAAAAATCTTGTTTCACAATTTAAGTATTTTCCTGTTGCTGCCAGACTGCGTAACTTTAGTTATGTTCGCCTATAAAAGAAACAAACAGTTCGATACTACTAGTATCAAATCAAGTACATATTCCAAAGTGATATCTGATTATTTCGGCACGTTGATTATACATTTATGTTAGTATTCAATTTTGGCTTGTCCGTGGGATCTACTTAAAACCGAAGTGACAGAACCACACACTCGGAGTATACAAAAATAGAACACAATTATATTACATTGCTTTTCTTAAACGTGCAGTACTTTTGACCAACGGTACCAAATGTTGACACAGAATATCACATCACATGAAACAAACAACTCTTTCTCTGCTCAGTATCACATCCTTTTTAAACATATCAATGCTGCAAAGATTGGGTCATTCAGATATTATGTAATTTTGAATCTAGTGAAATACTGTGTTATCATATATCTAATATTATACATCTAATATAAAGATATGATAAAGAATGATACGAAATAGAGGAAGAACTATCATCTATAAAGCTTATGGCGCTGATGTTGTAACAAAGGAGATGCCATTGTAACTTTAGAAGTTGACCTATATAGCTGACATGTGGCACCTATTTTTGAAGGGATTGGTCACTGTCGGGTATTCTTTCTAATCTGGACTCCCGACCGTGAGTTTGGATCTCTCCAGGGCTCAACAGTAGTGTATTTATTATCCGAATGACACGCCGAATCAATTACATTCTTGAACATCGACCTTATCGATTTTATATAGCATATGAACGTGCAGGAACTAATATATACCAGTCTCTGACGCTGATTGTTCTTGTTGTTGTTGAGGTCTTGGGCGCCTTCATCTTTGCTAGAAATGCCCACTTTTGTTTGTGAATCGAGGGCAGAGTTTCGGGCTGGCAAACTGACGTGTGGTGTGCCTCACAGTTAGGCTCCCTGTTTTCAGTCAAAGATACTCTTTCATAGGCCACACCAAGTAAATTTTATGGGTGACGTCCGCGCGCGCATTGATTTTGGCCTGTTCCTAGAAAAAAAACAAGAAATTCCGCTTCCTGTAACTATGACCAAAGAGTCACGACACTGCCGCAAATCGTCAGATCGTGAAACCCGTAACGTCGAAAGCCTGTGCCTGGTTAAAAAAATTGAAAACAAAAATGAAAAAAACAAACAAAATGGCACTGAAAAAAATCCTGTCAATAGTTCCAAAACGGTGCCGTTTTTGGAACTATTAACAGACAGGACGGTCCTGTCAGCAGTGCAATATTTCTTATCTAGGCATCTTGTTTTTTAGGGCCCTTCTTGTTTTTTTTCGCCCTCTCGCATTAGATTTAGGGTATCCAAAGGACGTCATCCATAAAATTTTCTTGGTGTGGCCTTACTTAATGAAACAATATCTGACAGTATTGTAAAGTATGGCATCATAACCTAAAGTCATTAGCTGTTGCAGAGGGAAGACCACTGGGAGGTTACTGACTGATCATAACCCCTTCTGGAATCATTGCATCGTCACGATTTCTGGATTGTTGATTGGTCTGGAAGGTGAGGAAATTTTAGCACACAAAAGCTTCCTGTGAACTGCAGTGCATTGATGTCACAAAAAGGATTTTTCATTATCTTTTGGCTATAATTTTGTAGTGAAACTTTTAGGTACACATTATGCAAAGATGACTTAAACTGTATTGTAAATTCTTGAAATTATTAGGCATAAATTATGTAAATTAGGATATTTGTTATTCGGATATGATAACTTTTCCAAGATAGATATAACGGACAGTGTTTGAAACGTATTCAGTAACTTCTACTAGCAAGTCTAAGTGTTAACTGGATCACATTCTGTCTTTTCGGCAGGTACCACGGTACGGGGTGAAGTTGATCGTGGCTGTTTGTCCGGGTGAATCTTAGCCTCTACCAGGCTTGGGGAGGCGGCCGGAAAGAGTAGAAATCGGCCAAATTGAGAGATAAGCATGGCAAGGGAGTTTGTCCGTTGAGAGAACAGTTCGCCTCACCCCACGACGCGCTGGTTGGTTTATTGCTTAAATGATCTTCTACGCTGAGATAGTTCTTTTGTTGGATTAATGGGGGGATTACTTTTATGCCGTTTGATCGTAGCGACTCCCGACAGGCTTGGGGTGCGGCGAAATGTTCTCTCAACGGACAAACTCCCTTGGCATGCTTATCTCTCTATTTGGCCGATTTCTCCTTTTTTTCAGCCGCCTCCTCAAGTCTGGTAGAGTCTAGGTGAATCTAAGTGAACTCGCGATCGGTCAGCGAGTCGTCGCCGTCGGTTGCGACGTATGACTTGTTTGAGCCATCGGATGGATGCGTTCTTATGGTCGTCAACAGCACCTCTGGCTGATTCTACATGAATAAAAATGAAGGTTTATTCATCAGACAAAAATATACTACACATAAATGTTTGCCCAAAAATGTGGATTAGCCTTCATTGTTTTTAGTTGATTTAGACTGTTCACTGCGTATGCAATTCAACCCATGTTCTATGGTCAAGAACAAGGTGCCTATTATGTTACGCGACACGACTCAAGTGAAACTGCTTACCATAAGCCGTTGGAAATGTAGTCTCATAATAGACTTCAGTTGTCAATGGCAACAAAATGACGTCATGAAATAATACTGAGTCTACCAGCCGTGATCCGTCATCTTGAATTGTTGAAACAACCCTTTTCTCTTTTTTTTGTAACTTATAGGCTAAAACGTAATAAAAGTGGACTACAAACTAAATTTAAGGGACAATGTCATGTTTGTTCATGAGCTTCTTTAGTAAAAAATAATAGAGTACACGTACATGTTCTGGCATGTTCTCAGGTGCACGTGGGTGTCCAGTGGTGTTGTAAGTTACTTCATTATCTCCACTTTCAACTGAAGTATACAACATACACAAACTTAAATTTATATGCCAAAATGCAGGTGATTGTAAGCATATGTTGATATTTAAAATATGCCGTAAAAGAAGTCCTGCATGTGACCTCAAATTTTGACGATGAAATTTTTCTGTGATAAGTCAGGACACTGTTTTGATATATTCAAATCACACAATACTAACAAGCACACGGCGCGGCGGCTGCTGGCTACCGATTGACTTGTTACAACTCTAGACATTGTATAAAGCTATCTAATGATAATGCCCCTACTGTACTTAGCTTGGTGACGGCGAGTTCCACTCTGCGATAGTTCTAGGAAAGAATGCATTCTTGAACACCTCAATCCTTGGTTTATAACTCTGGTACTTAAAGGCCTGGCTATTTTGACGTGTATACATTACGTGTATACAAAGTAACGTGTATACATTGGTTGTAGGAGGTTACTTAAGTCTAAAATTGTAACTACTAAGATACAAACTTGCTTGCTAGTAGTTAGCATTCCTCCATTCAGATGGTATACCGGCAGGGCAGTGCAAAATTAATAGATGCTAAGTGGCCTACAAATCTGTCTTATTATTAATATCGCCCATTTCAAGATCTATATCACCACAATAAGTTTATAGATAGACATATGTGTTACATATGTAACACCATTGTGAACTATGTAACACCTTTAGTGCACTATGCACCAAGTAACATCTAGCGTCAGTGCACAGTAAACCAGTCAGAATTGCCCTGATGAAGATGACAGGTGGCCATCGAAACGTCGGCTCGTTAAAAAGAAATGGTTGTGATCAAAGAACTTTGCTATTCATTGCCTAGCTTTTTTTTTAAATTCTGACATTCATCATTAAAACACATATCATCTTAACTACGCCGGTTGACATGTACAACAACCCCGACTAGCTACAGATGTCACTGTACCAGAAAAGTATTGTCAGCAAATTCCCTACGTTTCAAAATTCAATAAAACACAAGCCCCGTACACCGTTTAATCATCATGTCTGAGAGTCAGGAAACAGGAGGCAGCCTTGGGCGCTATCAAGCGGCACTACCTTTGCCTTGTCAACAGTCTTGAGGAAATCAGTTAAGAGTCAGGAAGCAAGGGTTCTCCGCAGCCCTGGGGCACCGGACCTTCCCGTAAACATCGCTTGATTGGCATCACCACCTGTTCTCCGAACACAACCCTTCTCCGTTTTTCGTTAACATCCCCGTATCCTAGATACATGTAGGCAACACGTGGAAGCTTAAGTGAATCCAAGAGTCAGGAAATAAGCATTCTTCACTGCCCCTAGGCACGGACATCGTCGACAATCTTTATCATTCCTCTGAAATATCTTATCCATATTACAACGGGTAGTGGTCACGTGTCTGGGCGTTAGATGTAGTATATATGGGAATCGCCACAGCGGGTGGTCGTACGTTTTCTGAGGTGACCACACAGACATGTAAACTGGGGGCGTTCTCTGGACAGGCAGGTAGATGGTCATGACTGTGATGCACTGATCAGGTTGGTTTGCAGTCCCGCCACTGCTCCTTGTGTGTTTCATGGTGAAGATAGTTCAATTGGGGTTGACTTGGATAACCGCTAATTATAAAAAACTTGTCATGGCAATGTTATATTGGTTTGTGGCATATTGGTATATGAAACGAGTGTAGTCTTATCGTTTTGGCACTATTTTGTGAATTTTCTGTAATCATGTATACGTTTTCTGAATGTATAATTTCTAGTGTGTCATGTAGTTTTGTGCAACGAGTAGTGTAGGATTTAATAATAGTAAAGGTCACAGGATAAATTGATGAAAAGGAAAATGGTCAAGCATTTTGGCCATGGGGATTTTGAGAAACAATGTTGGTTCTTCTGATCCTGGTGACTGTCCCTATCTCCTTAGCGAACCCCTGTCTGCCCCCGTGTAAGAGAGAAGGTTGGTTAGAATGTGTACCTTACGCACTGAAAAACCATTATTGGGAACAGCGAGGAGTGTGTATCTTATGTGAGGAACAGGGAGATGCTGTTCTCAGGGCCAGTAACAGTTCTGTTTCTTCGGTGCCCTGCCTTCTTGTCACGGAGAAGCTGGTAATAAGAGGATATCCACTTCATGTACTAGCAACCAAAAATCTACCAGTCTTAAACCAATCTGCACTGTATACTTTACTGTTGTTTGAGGATGAAATTGAAGACGTAGAGGACAACACCCTGAGTGACTTTTCGTGTCTATGGACATTGGGGTTGGATTTCAACAGGTTGACACATGTGAAACAGAGCTGGTTCACAGGCTTGAAGGAGCTCAGTGTCCTAACTTTGTCTAATAACAGAATCGACCAGATTGATCCAGGATGCTTCGTGAACATGAAATATCTTTTCAAGCTGAACCTCCAGCACAACCAGTTGCAGCGCATAGACGCAGCCTGGTTCGCTGGCCGAAGCCTTCTAATGTACTTGTACCTGGGGTATAACAACATTAGAAGCATCCCTCCAAAAACATTTCAAAATGTCAGTATCTTTTGGCTGTACCTAGAGAAAAATCCCTTGTCTTGTTTAGATTTGGATTTGGATTTGATACAAGGTATGAAGAATGCGCATGCCTTTGCTGCTGGTGGTAACAGTTTAGTTACAGTGCACGATAAAGTGCCTCACAGAATTCCATGGAGTCTTACCATCCATGGGGAAATACTCCCTAGCATTCAGACCGTATCTGTCGAATTGCCCGACTTTTATTTGTGTCTCATAAACTATCCTGAACGAAATGAAAAGTCGATTGGTTGGAAGTTTGATTCAGGAGAGACCGTTCCCCGTCACATACCAGGACACTTCAAAGGCCTGTGTTTTATGCCAGAGTCCAAAAGCGTTGACAGAAATATTGTCAGTGAGCCACCCTTTGTTATCATTGCTACCAATGACTTAGCAAGGAAAGAGGAGCATCACTTTCCGGATATGTGCAGACAAGTATGGCAACACAATCTGGGCATTAATGTGGCCTTGTCAGATAGCTTAAGCTTACAACTAGTTTCTATGAGCGTAGGGAATGCGAGCACGGGCACCATTGCTGTCATACTTGACACCGAGTCGAGCAGTGCCGCATACTTTGATGCAAACACAGACGACACTGAAAACATCACCTGTTTTCTGCTCTCTAAACGCAACCCGTCTCCGTTAGTCCATAACATTGCCAAAGTCCAAAAGAATACGAGCAAGATGTGTCCTTTGCATTCTACAACATCTAACCATCAAAGAAGAAGCACAAAAGTACAGGTTCAGAACACTACAGAACAGTACAGATCTCAGACATACAAGGACCCTACCACAGAACCATCGATGTACTCAGTACAGGTCAGTACCCTCCTGACAAATCATGTGCAAAACACAACAGAACCAAACTCTTATACCATCCATGTCGTTTCCTCAGCTGTGGGGGCCCTGGTTGCCTCACTTTTTGTAGGATTTCTGTTGAAGAAGTGTTTGAAAAGGACAGGAAACAACATCGACCCCATGGATGCACACGTGTGGACACTACCGCATGGCCGTGCCGGGCCCGGCTTGTTCAGATCTGCTTCCCTCCCAGACATGACATCAGCACACCTGACAGTACCGGACGACCCGGCCTCCTGTAGGGCGTTAATTGCTATCCTTCAGCACTTTTACTCTGAGATCCCTGATAATATAGCTGCTGCACAGCGACCACTGCCTGCCCTGCCACACACATACTGTGAGATTCCAGACCATATAGCAGCTGCGCAGCGGCCATTACCTGCCCTTCCACCTACGTACGACGAGATCCCAGATAACATTGCTGCTCAGAGGCCTCTGTCTGTCCCCTCCCTGGCGTCTTACAGCGTTCTGTAGGTCATTGCCTGGTGCTCTGTATTTCATGGAAGCCTCAAAACGCATCATTCCACCCATTGGTAACGAATCCGTAACCAGCATGCGTGCAGTGGCATATGGTGTGCCTCACAAGGCCAGAAACAATCTTAGCAGGATTCCATCCATTGGCCACGAGTCTGGAACCAGCATGCGTGCAGCAGCATATGGAGTGCCTGGCAAGGCCAAACACAATTCCTTCAGCATGGCATGTACAGTCAATGGAAGGTCACAGAAAAGGGCAGCCAAATCATAGCGCGACCACGACCCTTCCCTGTCCTCCCTAACACGTACTGGCCATGGTCACTGCCAGGGGAGGAACCACACAACACAGAATGCCACGAGCCGCCGGTTCCATCAATACTAAACACCTACTGGCCATGGGAGATCCCGGTAAAGACCAAACCCCAAAACGACGCCGATGGTCGATGCCCGAGGAGGGACTTCAAAAATCTATCATGCCACGAGTAGTCGGTCTCATCATTATGAAACACCTAGGCTATGCACCGTGGGCTATGGGAGATCGAAGTGAAAAGCAGCTCAAAGTAAATACGATTATTCTCCCGAAACTTATTGGCTGTTATAATTAGCACATTATAAAGCGTGCAATGCCAAGAGCCATTTGTTTAATATCACCATGTAACTGTACAGGCCTTGTATTTCAACCGAAAACATAAAGCGACAAAACTCCCTCCCAACCATCATCCCGGGTTACAAAAAAGGCTCTTGATCTCAGCGGCGGAATCACAAATCCCACAATGCCACGCACCGCCGGTTGATTTTACTAGTAGTTAACAAGCACCTACTGGCCATGGGAGATCCCGGTAAGGACCACTCAAAACTGAAAACGCAGCTCCCATCTTCCACTTATTGGCCGTAGTCTTTCAGGTTTCCAATACAATTACATTTTGGATTCAGAAACATAGCACCTGCTCTGCAGCTAGCTTTCAACTGGTTTGTATAGGCGTACAGGGAATGGTACAAAGGCCCAAGGCACAAAGAGCACCGATGCCTCATATTCAGAAGAAATTATGCAAGCTTTAACGACACCAAAAACATTACCTCCATTCTGTTCTCAGAACACAACCCTTCTCTATTCTTACAAATCTAAGGTAACAACCTCAAGCCCTAAATACCCCAATTTTGCCACGCCGAAAAAAAGGTACATTCAAAATCTGTTTTATATGATGTGTAACAGCGGTTTGCCCAATTTCAAACGTTACAGAAGTATCGCAACGTTTGAAATAGGGCAAACCGCTATTACACATCATATAAAACAGAGCTTTCGAATGTACCTTTTCTCGGCGGGGTTATACTTTACACAAGGCTCTCTAAATCAGAACATAACCTAAAATAAAACTTGCCGGCAGTAAATTCAGAGAATTTATCTTATATAGTATTATAGACTGGTTTATTTGCAGAAACACATACTTCATACATACATAGTACAGTAGGTTAAAAGCTTTTTGCAGCCAAAGGCTGAATTGAGAAGCTTTTACAAGTTTTTAAGAACCACATGACTAATACATAATGTATATACATAAAAGGTGCCTTGAGAGGCATTAAACACCACTTATGCGCTAGAATAATGCACATTTATGCTAAAATTACATCATACAACTTCTGTTGGCAAATTACTTAAGTACAACTGACAATAATAAAAAAGTACAATTAGATCAAGTGCAACAACATAAAGTGAAATCTACTGTATGGCAAGGTTATTCAGTATGTTCAGCATTGTGGGGACAGGACTGCATAAATATCTTTTTGTCCCAATGGGTGGTTTGTAGCGCCGTGTTTGCCTTAGCTGCATGTTGTGTGAGTGGTTACTAACTGGGGGTAGCCAGGGGGCGTGCCTAGACCTAGTGGCTGAAAGGGCAAAGGCCCGGCACAGGGTCAGTCTCCGTTCAGACAGACGTTGGAGGTCAAGAGTTAACAGGGCCTCGGAATACGAGTGATAGCTTCTACCCAGCATGATTCTGCAGGCCCTTTTCTGGATTCTTTCTATGCTGTCAGATTGTTTTCTTGTGATCCCCGCATTCCAACAGGGCGTGGCATATTCAACTATTGGTCGAATATACCCACAATACACTGTGACAAGGTCAGAGCTTGGGAGGCCAGCTCGACGCAGCCTACTTAATAAGTATAACCTTCTACTGCCCTTGGACACCATGGCGTCAACTTGATCAGACCACCGTAGGTCAGAGCGTATGTGCAAACCAAGTAACTTTGCTTGTGTAACTATGCTAAGTGGCTGACCTCCGAGAGTCAGTGGGTGCATTACTGGGGGGTTCTCATGAAGCAGAAATACATTGCTTTACATTTTTTGGGGTTAAGTAACATGGAGTTCGTTTCGGCCCAGGTGTCCAATGAGTCAAGGTCAGTCTGAAGTTTAGTTGGGGTTGACACAGTCCTAACTTCTCCCAGGTTCATGTCATCGACATACTTCCAGTGTGGATTGTTAGTATTAGGTTTTGCATCGTTTATCATGGCTAAGAACACAAGAGGGCCAAGTAGAGTGCCCTGGGCCACACCAGATGTTAATGTTTCCCAGCCAGAAATAGAGTCTTGATACCTAACACGCTGCCTTCTGTTTGTCATAAAACTACAGAGCCAGGGGATCAGTGAAGGTCTTGTACCCATGGATATAAGTTTGTTAATGGCAGTGGTGTGACACACCCTGTCGAAGGCTTTCGAAAAATCAGTTAGGATTAGTGTGCCAACAGTGCTTTTACTCTCTGCTCCCTCATAGAAGAAATTTAGGAGGTCAATAAGACAGTGCGTCGTTGAGCAACGCTTCATGTTACCAAACTGCTTTGTGTCTACATTTGGGAGAATGTCTGAGAAAATCCATGCGGTGATAAAACCCTCACAGATCTTGGCAAATTGTGCGGTCAGTGAGATTGGTCGGATCTTATTCAAGTCCGCTGGGTATTCCTTAGGCACTGGGATTACTGTGGCATCCCGCCACACTTCGGGGACTCTGCCCTCTCTCAATGAGGTGTTTAGTATGTCAGTCAGGGGGGTTGAGAGTTCATATGCAAACTCTTTGATTAATTTGGGTGGAATAAGGTCAGGACCAGGGGCCTTAGATACTTTAACTCGTTGTAGCCGTTGGTACATTTCCCATGGGTTGATTTGGGGTGGGGGAAGGGCCGGTAAGTATGCAGGGAGTCTAGAGTAGTCAAGTGGGGGAAGTGCTTGACAGATGGCTGCTAAGTGACTATTTATTGCTTGAGCTGCCCCTGAAGTATTGGTCGGTTCAAGACCAGGAACATGAATTGTAGAACTTGGTCTGGACCAGTTTGCCAAATGTCTGATCGTTTTGTGCCACTGTGCTGGCTTGGTTTTCTTAAGGTGTTCTATGTGGTCAGCGTAGTAGTTTTTCTTACAGGTAGATATAAGACGGGCAATCTTATTACGGCAAAGCTTGTACAGGTGACTTTGGCCCTGTCTATGTGCTTCCTGTCTCTTAAGTATAAGGGATTTGACTACAGTAGAGATCCATGGTTTGTCATTATTATGTACTTTGGTACGCTTCTGTTAGTGTTACGGGAGACCTAAGGCTTATTACATCCTTACGGCCACAACAAATGAGGTAAAAATTTGTCTAAAAGCTAACGCTTTTTACGGCTCGGGGGAAGAGCGTGCAGATCCATCTTTAGGTTAAAATAATAATTCACATTGTTAACTTGAACACAAGACACACGTATTTTCTCATCACCTGCACCAACAACCCTCCCCCTCCCACCACCTGTTGGGCTAACAGGAAGAATGTGGAAATGAGTCTGGGAGTCGGGAAATAAGATGGCCCTAAGCAGTACCGGCTCAACAGACCGCCCGGTAGTAGTTACGCCTGTGGTACAATTTGGCGCGCCCAGAGTTGATTAGCCATATCGTGGTGGGGCTACTCAATCTCCCGTCGTGACAAACCTACCGGGGACCGTAGCTGAGGCGGGCAGAGAAGAGCTTCAGCAGCCCGAAGAATATCCGCTCCAACCGTGATAGCCTGCATACCAGGTTACAACAGTTTTTTTATTAAGAATATTGCTCTGGTGTTTCTTCTCCATATTTGTAAGGCATCTAGTGATCATGTGTCTGGGACTTAGCTGTTAAGCTTTGAAGAGAATGTCCACAAAACAAAGGTGATGGAAATTGACAAATTTGGGGTATTTTTAGATGATATTTATATAATTAATAAGTTGTATCGCCGCATCATCTGCTACTCATCTCCTGGTAGGGTTGACAGGTATGGGTAACATGTAGATATTAGTCGGAGAATCAGGAAATAGGAGGTCTTCATCACTGCATGCCCGGGCCCTATAAGCACTATCCCCGTCATCATTTTTTCATCAAAATTTTTGTATCCAATCCATATTAAAAAAGACGGCGTGTTCGTGCGTGTGTCTGGGATGTAGTTTGGACACAATGCAGGCACCGCTACATGTATACATGTACACGACGGGTTGCCGTACTGTATCTGGTGCGCCAATACATTCATGTTAGTCTGATTCTGCTTAGAGCGCGGTCTTTTTAAAGGGATTAGCATGGTCAAGAATTAGATACACTCCAGTACACTAATCAGGTTAGTGTAAAGGCCTATTACAACTTCAAGTGTGTCGCGTTAGCTTTGACAACGTGACATGAAAATGCTGTTTCTTAGTCTGATCCTGGTGACTGTCTCAGCCGTTATAGCGAACCCCTGTCTATCCCTGTGTAGGAGAGAATCTATGTCCGAATGTGTGCGTTCCACACTAAAAGCACAGGTTTGGGACGAGCCAGAATCATGCATCTTATGTAAGGAACATGGAGAAGTTAACGCTAGCAGAATATCTGCTTCAGTACCCTGTCTTCTGGACACGAAGCTTCTGTCAATATCAGACTTCTCACTCCATGTACTATCAGCTAGCAATCTACCGGTCTTAAACCATTCTCTTGTGCATACTTTACTCTTTTTTGAGAATGAAATTGAAGACGTAGAAGAAAACACACTGAGTGAGTTTTCGTTTCTAAGCACACTGGGCCTTGATTTCAACAGGTTGACACATGCCAAAAAGAATTGGTTCACTGGTTTGAAGAAGCTCAGCTTCTTGAGCTTGTCCAATAACAAAATAACACAGGTTGAGCCAGGGTGCTTCACGAACCTATTTAGTCTTGTCCTCCTGAACCTTGAGCACAATCAGTTACAGGTTGTTGACCCTACTTGGTTTTTCGGTCAAGCTGTAGGCCCCGCCTTGATCCCTGACAAAAGGGATATTTTGTACTTGTACTTAGGGTATAACAATATCAGAAGCATCCCTGCCTGGGCATTTCAAGACATGAACATGATTGAATTGCACCTAGAGAAAAATGCTCTGTCTTGTCTAGACCGGGAGTTGATACAGGGTATGATGGAAATGTTAATCTTTACTGTCGGTGGTAACAGTTTAGTTACAGTACACGATAAAGTGCCTCACAGAATGCCATGGAGTCTTTCGATCCACGGTGAGATACTGTCCACCATTCAGACCGTATTCGTCGAAGTACCCAACTTCTATTTGTGTGTCGACCATTATTCCCAACAAAATGTGAAATCTATTGGTTGGAAGTTTGATTCAGAAGAGATGATTCCCCGTCCAATACAAGAAAACCTGTGTTCCATGCCAGAGTTCAAAAGCGTTGAAAGAAATATTGCCAGTCAGCCGCCCTTTGTCATCATTGCTACCAATGACTTAGCAAGGGAAGAAAAGCATCACTATCAGGATATGTGCAGACAAGTATGGCAACACAATCTGGGCGTTACGATGGCCTTGAAAGATAACGTCAGCTTACAACTGGTTTCTATGGGCGTAGGAAATGAGAGCGTGGAGACCATTGCTGTTATACTTGACACCGAGTCGAGCAGTGCCGCATACTTTGATGCAAACACAGAGGACACTGAAAATATCACCTGTTTTCTGCTCTCTAAACGCAACCCGTCTCCGTTAGTCCTTAACATCGCCAAAGTCCAAAAGAATACGAGCAAGATGTGTCCTTTGCATAGTAGTTACCCAGAAGAGACAAGTTCTATAACATCCAACCATCAAAGAAGAAGCACAAAAGTACAGGAACAGAACACTACGGAACAGTACAGATCTCAGACATACAAGGACCCTACCACAGAACCATTGATGTACACACTACAGGTCAGTACCCTCCTGACAAATCATGTGCAAAACACAACAGAACCAAACTCTTATACCATCCATGTCATTTCCTCAGCTGTGGGGGCCCTGGTTGCCTCACTTTTTGTAGGACTTCTGTTGAAGAAGTGTTTGCAAAGGACACGAAACAACATTGACCCCATGAGAGCACACGTGTGGACACTACCGCATGGCCGTGCCGGGCCCGGCTTGTTCAGATCTGCTTCCCTCCCAGACATGACATCAGCACGCCTGACAGTACCGGACGACCCAGCCTCCTGTAGGGCGTTAATTGCTATCCTTCAGCACTTTTACTCTGAGATCCCTGATAATATAGCTGTTGCACAGCGACCACTGCCTGCACTGCCACACACATACTGTGAGATTCCCGACCATATAGCCGCTGCGCAACGGCCATTACCTGCCTTTCCACCTACGTACGAAGAGATCCCAGATAACATTGCTGCTCAGAGGCCTCTATCTGTCCCCTCCCATACGTATTGGGAGATCCCAGACCTTGCCGTATGTAGTATGGCAAGGCCAGCCGCCTATAACAAGCGTCTTACAGCGTCCTGTAGGTCATTGCCTGGTGCTCTGTATTTCATGGAAGCCTCAAAACGCATCATTCCACCCATTGGTAACGAATCCGTAACCAGCATGCGTGCAGTGGCATATGGTGTGCCTCACAAGGCCAGAAACAATCTTAGCAGGATTCCATCCATTGGCCACGAGTCTGGAACCAGCATGCGTGCAGCAGCATATGGAGTGCCTGACAAGGCCAGAAACAATCTTAGCAGGATTCCATCCATTGGCCACGAGTCTGGAACCAGTAGGCGTGCAGCAGCATATGGAGTGCCTCACAAGGCCAGAAACAATCTTAGCAGGATTCCATCCATTGGCCACGGGTCTGGAACCAGTAGGCGTGCAGCAGCATATGGAGTGCCTGGCATGTACAGTCCATGGAAGATCTTAGAAAAGGGCAGCCAAATCATAGCCAAATCATCCTTCCCTGCCCTACCTAAAACGTACTGGCCATGGTCACTGCCAGGGGAGGAATCGCACAACACACAATGTCAGCAACCGTCGGTCCCACTCTTACCAAACACCTACTCATGGAAAATCCCGGTAAAGACCACTTCAAACGTAAAACGCCGAATGTCACTCCCTACCCTCACTATTTTGCCTAACACTTAACGCAAAGAGCTGTCGTTTCCCATCATTCGTAGCGATGGGAAGATGACAACGTTTAGACGGAATTCAACCGGTTTTTATTCGACTTTTTATCCAGAATCCAAGCTGTCGTTTCCCATATTACCAACACCTATTGGCCATGGCAGATCAATGTAAAGTTGACACCTAACAGAAACATCGAAGGCAACAGTTGGCATGCAAAGATGTCACGTATAGGTTAAAGATATTCTGGCATGGGAAATGCCACGTAAGCGCACCGGAAACATAATACAACGATCACCTTACTAAGAACTAGATGAGTGTTTTTTGAGGGGCGAGGAAGCTTGAGGGGCGAGGGGAGTGAATGAGCTTAATACACAGACAGTCAACTATCTTATTAGTATTCACATTCAACTTTCTATAAAAGGAAAATCGACAATAAATATGCTCTAAGTTTAAACATCAGGAACCAATTAAAGTTCGTAGAAGAGTAGATGTGAATATTGAAGTGAGAATATTAGATGTATAAAGCGTCCATCCTTCGGGTACCATTTTGATTCATTGGGGCGGGTGGGTAGAAGTGCCGTAAGGAAAAAAAACTCTTGATTAACTAGTGTGTACTGCGTAGTACCCTCGATGTACGTGTATGTGATCTAGTGCAGTGTACAAGTCCTCCGTAAGGGAATGAGTGTGTTTATTAGTCCGTATTGATGTGGTAGCTGTAGCTGCACTGAATTAATGCTGGTTGAATGTGTAACTCTCCACTTAATGTAGTGGTTGCTGATGTCTTATTCTAGTCTACTGTTAGACATTCAAGTACTTGTAAAGAACCATAAGAGAATTTCAATAAGTAATATCAGCGGATTTTTGAATGTAAGGTGAGAAATTAAATCTAAGAAATTAAACCACATTCTAGAAATTAAACAACATTCTAGAAATTACCTACACAATGAAAATGTCTAAAAAATAGTAATAAATCTTATGAGCTGAAGAAAGATGGCGGATGCCACTTGAAAGCTTCTCTGAGCTGAAATTTTGTCTTGAGTACTAATTTACCTACTTCTTTCAATAGTAATTATTTAATTGCTGTTTAACCAAATCATTCCTAACCTAGTCTTCTTCAAAGAAAACTTTTATAGTGAAAGAAACAGAGCGGAATCTCACGGATTTGCTGCTATCATGTCAGCTGGGCGGGGATCCGTGCCTGACGGCAGGTGATCCGCCCACCCGGGGATGTCCCCGGGATCTTACCGTTACAGGTGACACCGGGGGAAGACACCACTAGAGACAGACCCGGCATCTTATAGTTAACAATGACCAATGCTGGGGTTGCCAACGGTCCGACTGGACACCAACGCCGATTGGACTGGAACCTAGCCGGACAACGACGCCCCTTTTTATGTTTACCGAAAGAAAACTTTTTTTGCTCAGATTCTTCCTCTTCTTCTTCTTCTCCAAACAGTGACCTCTGACCTGACCAATAACATGCTTTGTTGACGTCTGCCACCATGGTGACTGGTGATGGGTTACATAATGTTGCTTGGTCTGCTCTGCTCCTTTCACCATACTCTAGTAGTACATGTATGTGAATGTGTTTGAGTAAGAAGTAACTGAGCAGACCTTGTCCGAAGGTAAACATTATGAAACTAGTTGCGCATGCCCGTAGCCGGGGGGTTCGGAAGAACCCCCCACAAGGCTCAAAGGTCCACTTTTTGGTCCACTTTTTATGTAAAGGTCCACTTTTTGGTGCACCTTTTATGTAAAGATCCAAGATTTTTCTTGAAAAGACTGGAATTGTAGAGAAACTGCTCCTTTTGTCATTCAATAAAAATGTATCTCTGATTTTTTCTTTGAAATCCT